ATCCAACTACAAATAACATTCACAATAATGCAAGTGGTAGGCATCATTGTTAACTATATGCCCCATATTCATTGTAACAATTTAACAGCATTATAAAGGAATTTACAGCATTATAACGGCAATCCCAAAATGATAACAGCATTCGCAGTGTTAAATTTCTATTTAAAGCTTTCGTGACTGCAGGGATTCATCTTCGCAGTGTTATAAGAACATAAACGAACATACAGACAATGCTTCTTAAAGTCCCGCAATGAACAGATGCACCCGTCTTCAATGAGACGCTAATTGTGCCTCCATTTTGTCTTCTGTGTAATGGCGGACACCCCCGCCTGGCCTCGTGACTTCCTGGTCATGTGACTAAACTCAACACCATCCTATCAGAAAGTTCCTGTGTAAACACACCCTCAGATCTGCAGTGGGGTAGAACAACTACACGACTATACACTACACTATTACACTACATGATTATACACTACACTACTATATGCTACACTATTACACTACACTGTAGATTAAACTATGACACTACACTACTATACACTATACTCTTTGGTTATTTTGGTAAAGTCGCGTAGGTATAAAAATAAAATACAAATAATATATCACGACGTTTCGATCGCAACACAAGCGATCGTCATCAGGAGAAATAGAACTCAGCAGTAGAACTGTAGAACTGCTGAACTAGGAAGAACACAGCGAGAGAGCGGCTACAACAAGGGGTTATATATGTTTGAGGGGGGGTGTAGCCCAAGGGCAAGCAAGCGGGGTCCGATCTGGAATGGAGTCCCATGCCCACACGCAAGCACATCAGTTGTGTTAATGGGGAGATTAGGCAGCGATAGATTAGGGAGAGAGATTAGCATGTCAACGTAAATGAGCTTCCGTCGCCGCATGAGAGCACTGTCACCGCACATGCACACAGCAGTAGTGTTAATGGGAGATTAGCACTGTAAATAGTACAGATTATGGAGAGAGATTGGGGAGAACCATCGATACATCGAGGCTAAGGGAGCAGAGGTGGACATGTTAGTGAGACCCCTACCCGTTAATGCAATGGCATCCAACAGGGCAATGCAACTCAGAGAGTCGGAGATAACAGCCAAACGGCAGGAAGGATGGAAGCATCACAGAGAGTTATGCCTTTACCTGGTTAATAACGTCCTTCCAATGATTGCTCAGTTTTACCCATCTTCTCGGTTGAAATTGTCTCTGTGTTTATATATGTCTGGATGGCTTCATGGACAAAATCATTGATGGTAGCCCGAAGGTTTTCAGAGTACCTTTGTCACGGAAAAAAAAATATTGTGCAAGCCCACCGCGTTATAACAATGATCAGCCACGGCAGAGGTATTGGTTCTGCCGTGTTTCAAATATGCCTTGTGTTCGCGAACACGGTCCGAAACGTCGTTTCGTTTCCCCAATGTAACAGCTGCCGCAGACACAACTTAGTTTGTAGACTACTGGGTATTGCATGTCAGGAATGACATCAAATCACGGATTTCGTGTACTCTATTGAATCTGACCTGGATCTTGTGTTTGTTTAAGATTTTGGAAGTCTTTTTGGTAAAACCTGCTATGTAGTTGGCTGCAGGTGGTGGCGGGTTTTAACCACACATTTATAAATTTACGTGGCGATCTAGCCCAAAAACCTCTATTATGGATATTGATCGCGAAAGTCTGCTATGTGTTAAATAGAGCTGCTATAGAGCTCAGTGGCGGGGGGGGGGGGGGGCTTACACCTGGTGGACTACAAATAAAACGAAGTTTGTCGTTTTTATTTTATGTTCAATTTATGGTGCTTAACGCAGAGGACTCCATTTTCGATATGCCTGGGAACTTGCCCCTCCCCTGGTCACGTGATCAGAGGCAGCCCCTGTCACGTGATCAAGGGGGGGGGCAGCCCCGGTCACGTGATCAGGGGGGGGGGCAGCCTCGGTCACGTGATCGGGGGGGGGGCAGCCCCGGTCACGTGATTAGGGGGGGGGGGCAGTCCCGGTCACGTGATCAGGGGGGGGCAGCCCCGGTCACGTGATCAAGGGGGGGGCAGTCCCGGTCACGTGATCAGGGGGGGGGGCAGCCTCGGTCACTTGATCAAGGGGGGCCCCCTCAATCTGGAAAGCAGTGACGATTATCTGAACCCATCCTAGGCCTCGCCTAGGTCGGCTCAGCCTCAAATGAGTACCTGGTTTAGCGGTGGTGGTAGTGGTGGTGTAGTAATCATCGCCACTGGGGGAGAGACGAAGTCGGCCGGCTGTGGTGCTGGCCACCCACCCTCTCGTTTGCCGTGCCGACTTCATAGGTGCTCGCTATCAGCACTTGCCCCTACAGTCTGTTAAGGCTATATGGGGGGTCTTTGTCTTTTTGTGTGTGGGGGTATGTCTGTGTGTGTATGCGTGTGTCTGTGCGTGTGTTTGTGTGTGTCTTTGTGTGTGGGGGGGGGGGGTAGTGTGTGTGTCTTTGTTTGTGTGTGTCTGTGTGTTTGTGTGTGGGTGTGTGTCTGTAACAGCACTTGCCCCTACAGCCTTGCTAGAGGCTACCTAGGGGAGCTTTGTCTGTATGTGCAACAGCACTTGCCCCAACAGCCCTGCTAGAGGTTACCTGGGGGAGCTTTGTTTTTGTGTGTGTAGTGCTGGAGACGATAAAACAGAAACCCTCACATGCCGGTTCCCGACGATTGGAGCTCACACAGGCAAAAATCCCCCAGGTAGCCTCTAGCAGGGCTGCAGGGGCAAGTGCTGCTACACACAGACAACAACAACCGCCATTCGCCACGAAGTGGCGGTGACGTCACCACGACGTTTGTACCAGGCCATGTGCACCTTGAGGCCACGTGAAGTGTCGAGCAACCGCTGGCAGGAGGTCACGGGGAAGACCCAGCAGGTGCCACGGGTCGACTGAGATGAATGGCCGATGCACCACCTGTGCCCCCTACTGTGCCAACTTGCTGTGCTTTAGCTACCCGGCGCTCCGCTCGTTGTTGTGAGCCTCGCTCCTCCGCCCTTCTTTGCTGTTTGAGGGCTACTACCTCCAACTGCCCAGTAGCGTCCTTCACGAGCCTCCTCCACAGAGGCCGATCTTGACACCGCTGGTACCAGTCATCGGCAAGTCCACTCAGCTCCACATCATCTTGTACCACATCACTCCATTTCTTCTCTAGCCTGTACCACGCCCATTCAGCCCCCTCGATCTGGCAGAACAAAAGCTGTTTAGGCATGCGGTGGCTGGGAATGCGGGCGACATGGCCCAGCCAAACGCAGCCTTGCCTGCCGGAAGAGCTCACCAATGAGACTTTGTCCAGATCTTCAAGGATTTGTGAGCTCCTCACACAATCCAGCCTGGTTAAACCCAGGATGGATCGTAGGCAGGCCAGCCTAAATGTTTCTAACCTGTGAAGATGCTCCATTAGGGGGGTCCACGTTTCTCAAGCGTAGAGAAGGGAGGGAATGACCGCGGCCGAGAAGACCTGAAGCTTCGTGCGGAGCGACAGACCAGGAAGCTTCCACACAGCGTTATGCAACCGATGAACGAAAAGATATTGCCAACCAAATGTGGGGTGGGGAATCACTGAATGAAGTTCAGTAACAGATCGGCCACTCACAGTCAACGTATGAATAAATAACAAGAGGTTTTAACCCTTTCTGGCAATAAACCAGTCGTGTTAAGATGTTTAAACACCAAATAGAAACCTCTTGCAAGGAATCGTGTCTGCGTTAACCACATGCGGAACGTGTGGTGAACATGCAAACAAAAACATGCTCTGATAATTAATGGTATTGTCTTTGAGACTGATTGATCCACACCAGAGACAGCAGACTTCTTTAGGGCCCAGTCTCACCAGTATCGGACAACAGAACGCCAAAAGGCGAGCAGCATATTTGCATGTTCACTATAATTACCCTGTGTGTGGTTAACGCAGTGATATGGTTCCTTGCAGAATGTTTCTATTTGATGTTTACACATCTTAAAACGACTGTTTTATTTCCAGAAAGGGTTAAAACCTCTTGTTATTTTTCATACTTTAATACTCGCAAAAAAATGTCCCATGTTGTAGCTGCTCACTCACAGTCAAGTTTAAGATGATGCACGCCATGAGAATGCAATGGTTTTGTTTGCACTCACTTTATGGAGTTTAATACAAAATATGACACTCACAGAATCAAGTTAAAGACGAAGTAGGACATCGGAATACCGTATATACACTGAATCGCAGACATAAAATCAGTCATTAGCATGACATTGATCATAAGCATAAAATAAATACATTTTACACAGCGTCTTAACATAGCAGTATGATCGACCATATGAACAGATTAATATAAATAAACTCTTTTAAAAAAGTTTTTTTAAAACGGTTTAATTAACAACTTCGTTAAACTCGCGGTCGAGAAGTCAATGGCGCCTGAGGCACGCGGCACCTGCGTTTTGTGCGAGCCGATTTCACAGTTTAGGGACCGTGGCGTTTTTGACCTACACAAATATCTAAATAAAATAAGGTGTCCCATACAAAATGTAAATTGCTTTAAAGTAGCGAATTAATTGATGAATTGATGCCGATTTTGATACAGGCATACGTGCGCAAAATGTGGAATTGATTGGACAACGGGAAGAGGACGAAATTTTGATTACAAGATTTGACCACGACAGAGGAATCAAGTTAAGTAAAACCGTTAAAGAAAAATACGCCAAAACCTGACATCAATACAGATGTTTTGTATCCTCTGCCTCGAAATGTAAAACAAATTCCGCGGGGCCGTGGCGCTGCTCAACTGATCAGCTGGCCGTCTGATTTGTTGTACAGTACTCCATAGTACACATTCATTTTGCCCTTAATTATTGACCCAAGCGTGCAGCGAGTAGTGAGAGGGTGTTGAGTCTGTGGCCCGGAGGAATAGGGGGTGGCTGGGCTGAGCCTCTCCTCCTTCTAACCAGCCCTCACCCCCATCATCTCATTGTCATCGTAATCATCGATAATACTTCTTAATTTTAAACTAATCAGCTAAACTAAGTTGCCTGATTATAATCAGGCAACTTAGTTAAGCTGTGGCGAGTCTGACCACGGCTGTGGTTCCCCTACCCCCCTACTACCCATAGGCCCCCTGTAACTTTACCAACCGCGAGGTTTTTCAGGAACCTGAACCCTCGCGGTTGGCCAGGGAGTTACTCTATATACATACAGGGGTCGCATGGGCAACCACTCAAATAGGGGCCTCCCATCTCTAACAACGAGCGTCTGCGTACGGCAACGGGCATATTGAGAGACTTTCACGCAACACGGCCATTGCAGGGTACAGCTCTCGATCAAATTTTCCTTGAAATCGATGCAGCAGCGACATGGAGTCGGCGCTGTAGAATGACAAGACGCCCGCCTCCCAGTCCAGGTGAACCCCGACTCTTTTGGGAGCATCTCGCACCGACAGGTTTGTTTCCGTCTCGTTATGTACCGCCTTGTATGTGTTGCCCCTTTTCTTAAAGCTCCACGAAACTTTATTGAAACCAATTTTACAGGCTTTGTCATCACCTTCCCGTGGTATCGCGTCATACGTAACACCGATGTTAAATTTCTCAGAACCCCTCACGTCCACCTCCCAGTAGTGGCGACCCGACGAGAATTTCTCAGAGCAAATGACCACTTGGTAGTGGTCAAACCTGTCTGAGTTGTCAGGGTAAGGTTGGGTGTGTGTGGAGGTCCTGACGGTTTTAAAGTCGGCAGATATCTGGAGGTTCCGATGTGCCGTGTTTGGGTTCAAAGTCGGCGAGCAAGTGTCTGTAAACGATAATAATTCACATATTGTGTTAAGCGAACATTGATTACTTTTGAGAAATACACTTTACACGTTGCAATGTCAGTAACAAGTACAAACATCTGATGACAATTATAGCGTGCCGGGCTGTACTTCACACAGCTGATGTAGTCTTTATCAGGGGTTCCTACGTTTCTGCCCTAGGTTCCTGCCATTACTATGAAAGGCAAATTAAATAGAGCCCAATGTATCAACTGACTGACCCAATCTCACTCTCAGTAAACTGTTCACCAAACTGTCTGATGGCTTCAGGACACGTCTGGTCATTACCAATGGCGCCGCCTGTAATCCAGCAAGTTGGTGGATCACACAGATTCGTGAATCTCCTACGCAAGGGCGACGAAGTCGCCACCTGCTGCCATGCCAGGATATGGCAGTACAGCAAGTGGATTCATCTTCATCTGGAATCCATCTATACGGGATTACGTGTTGCCCGCTTCATACTTATTGTTTGGTGTTGATGTAACTCGCTGACCCCGTGTCCCTACTGGACATCTGTGAAAAAAAGTTTCATAGCTCATCAGAGTCCTCATCCAGGATAAAGATTCTGATGCTCGTGGGTTTTCTCCACGTACTCCAGGTTCCTACCACAATTCATGAACGCATTTTCCCTTCATGCGGCGCTTTTCAGCAACGCATCTACTGTGATAAACGATGACTTATTGCACTGCATTAAGGGTTCACATCTCATATGGATATCTTTCTTCATCGTACATCAGCATTAGAAGTGAGTGACAAAGATGATGCATTAATGCACTCAGGAATGCACATTGTGTTGCATGTACAGCATATCACGTACTCGATTCCCTCCTCATTTTCAGGAATGCCTCTTGCTTTTCACGATGTTCACGCAGAATCTCTTGGAGTTGCGGGCTCTCTTCCTGCTTGCGATCGAGGCGGCTTATGATGAAGTCAGCTCGTGCTGACGCGTGGGGCATCGAATAGACTTCTGAGAGCTCAGATTGCGTGATGAGACCCTGGATGAGCAACTCGTGATGTAGCATTGCAGGGATCCTACCGATCAACTCTCGTACCACCGGAGGCTCCTCCATCCCCGTTCTGAGCAATGCATCTTCGCTGTCACCCTTCTCTGCATCGGTGTTATATGTGCGATGATCCTCGCTGTTTGCAAAGTGATCACAAATCTGAATGTCTTCTATGCTCTCATCCACAGTCAGGTTCTTGAATGATTGTACTGTTAAAATATTTGTAAGAATAAACAAAACAAATTTGAGTTCTAACTTTGCAATTGTTCGATCGCAACACAAGCTGTGTTTGTCTCACCTGATGATTGCTTGTGTTGTTATCGAAACGTCGTGATCTATTAATTTTCTATCTACGTGACTTTACCGAAAGAACCAAAGAGTATGGATTCCTGCAGTCACGAAAGCTTTAAATCTAGTTGTAATTACTGGCGAAACGTCGTACTCAGATTGTAAATGTTGTGGCTTGGCTCTCCAACACACCGGTGTGCTGTACTAGTATACTACACTATACACTATACTATACAACAGTGCTGTACTAGTGACAAATTGGAATGTTCTGTTTACGTGACAACCCTTACTAGTTGGCTGTGTCGGGTGCTGGCTGGTTTAATGACCCATTTATACATTTACGCGATCTAACCCAAAAACCTCCATTATGGATGTCACAATATATTTCTGCACGTTAATTTATATCACTCCATCTCCGTCTCTGTCACCAACAGCCATCAATGTGCCCACAACCACGCTTTGTACATTCTCTTTATATCTCCCAGTATGATTTAGAATAGCAACTTCCGCCATCACTTTTCGTAATGTTTATGCTTTTTCAATTAACATCCGCTTTCACCTTTCGGCATCTGTGCTCCCGATTTTATAATTATAATGAAAAAGAAAAAATACTAAAATCAAGCCTCGATATGAAATTTCAGACAATTGGAAATTGTTGTCGATTTGTGTTACAGAATGAGACAATCGGCCTTTTTTTATTTCCCGAGTGGTGACCCGAACAATGTCGCAGTGTTTCAGGAACCACCGCTGTGTCTGCGTTCGGCAGAAACACAAGAGCTTGGAGATTCCCTCGCTCCCAGCTCCACGCTCTACTGCTATGACCTTGCATCTATACTCTCTAGCCTTTACTACCCCCGCCACACACAAAGATAGCAGGTGAAGTTGGGCCAAATAACCTCCACGACCGATCTATAGGATTTGAGTGGGCACTCATCCAGCAGTGGATTAACAAAAGAGATGTTCACGTGCTCTATTGCTGTGGCTACATCGCCTGCATGCACACTCGGAGGCGACGATTCTGAACCGTTTTCCCTTCTGGGTATGAATACACTCCAAGTCAGTGTCAAGGATTCCCTATGCGTGACACGCCCTTGTACTCACCTTCGTAAATCGCGACTGAGCCCGACTTCACTTTGAAAGCCGGAAAGAGCGGCTCACTTGGAATGTCCTCGAATGAGTGCAACAGCTCCATGGTGCTGGCGTTGTAAAACGAAAGCTTTCCTGCGTTAAAGTCCAAGTGAACGCCGACTCTCTGTAAATGCGTAATCTTTGAATAAGTTTTGCATCGGTCGCCATGTCTTGCAGAATGATTTGAATCCCATTGAATGAACGCCCAAGACTGCTTATTCCAGCCCAGCCTGCCAGACATGTCTTGGCATTTCCGAGGAATCGACCCACGTGCGACACCTATAGAACAGTTTTCCGAGGCTCTCACGTCAACTTCCCAGTAGTGGTCACCCGACGAGAAGTTCTCGAAGCAGAGGACTATTGGCCACCACTCAAACCTCTCTGCGTGATCAGAGTAAGGCTGATCACCCTTGTTACATGTCACTGTCCTGAGATCGGAAGAAATGTTGAGCCATCGGTGTGCTGAGTTGGGGTTCAGAGTGGGCGAGCACACATCTGCAAGATAAACAAATTATCGTGTAAATCTTTACAATCACGACTCAGTTTCTTTCTCACTATCGTCAGCCATGATTAAGTGGTCGCAATGAGAGGCAACGGTGCACCTGGGTATTTCTTTCCCATGCCACTACTGGTGGAAGGATCTCGACTAGAAGCAGCTTTAGAGCCCCCTTCTTGAGGATATTTTGCCCTCCCTTCCAAGCTGGTGACATGTGCCACAGTGGCTAGGATATGTTAACTACCTCGCCGAGTATGCATGAGGTCGTGCGTTAAATCCCGACCCTGACTCCTATTCTATATTTGGAGTCTGTGTGTCTCTCTCTCCCTGCCCGTGTTTTTTTCTCCACATTTAGAATTAATATTACTCGTTTAGAGCATTAGGCTGCTATACATTTCCACGTGATGATGATATCAGCCACTTTGTTGAGCTACTATCATTTGTAATGGCTAGGTCGCTTCTGAAAAAGAGCTATACATAGCAGCTCAGTGGGGCTTTACCTTGTAAAATTTAATTGCTTCGTTTAAAAAAATAGTTTTAGTTTAGTTTACTAAACTTCCGGTGACCACTGATTGTGCTGTAGCCAGCGGCGTTGCATCCGAGTGTACCAAACCTTTACAACGCGGCAGCATCAGAGCACGTGGTGCCGTGCCGTGTTGCTCCAACATTGATTATGTCTTGATAAATTGGCCGCAGACATATAAAAATGCATCTGCCAGATGTTTTCAGCCTCTTGATGCCATCTCAGAAAAATGCAGATATGTATCCACTTAGGCAGCTGGAACTAAACTGAACTGGCCCCTGTATTTATACTACTATTTATATTACTGGAAAGTTATCGAATGTTATATAATTTACTCCAAGCTTATTCAACACTGAATCTATCTGGAATATTCTGGAAAATAGGTAAATTTCTAAATATCACTGTCCTGGTCACAAAAGTTTGTGGGGAATAAATAGCCATTTTCTGTACTTTTGAGGCATAAGCAATTAGAAAATAACACTTACTACCCAGGGACAAAAATAAATAAATGAAATGTTTCACAGTGTTATCGAGGCTCCCGGGAATGCAAGCGGACAATTGATGAATACTACGCTTACTTTTTCAGAAATGTATTCAAACTATTGCATTGCCCGAAGCCACATCGAACTGCGAATGTATGTTAATATAGACATGGAGCTACTGCCGGCGATTAAATCAGCTCGCGTGCAAGTGCTAAGCAGATCGTTGCAGAGAAGGGTCGTGGGAGGTATTAGAGGCTTGGCGAGACCTTCATCCAGCAGTGGATTGACCTTGGCTGATGATGTAAATGGGATATAAATGATATGTATCCAGTGTACACTGAGATTGGCCTAAATTAGTCGCAACTTTGCTGGCCACTCAACCACTGCCCCGTCTGCGAAGGATTTCCCGCTTGAGTGAGATGTTGGAACTGTGGGCCTGCGATGCTGAGACTTAGTGGACTCATTTCTCTGTTAAAATCACTTATTTTACTTTCCGAGGGTGTTCATATGCTCGGTAATTGCAAAATATAATAGGATTTGTACAGAGCCATGGAATATAATTAGCATGAATGTCGCTATATTTAATGAAATTATTAAGACGAAGTACTTCCGCTCTAAAAAAAGTGAAAAAAGACTACGTTTAATGGATTGCAATGCTGACGAGTGTGTAAAATGTACGCACGGCTCGTCTTCAGCATGTCCAGGAAATGCCGTTCCCTGCTCCGCTGTTGTTCGAGTATCTCCAACAGCTCTCGGCACTTGACGTCCCCTCGTCTCATGACCGGCAACAGGATTGAGTCCGCGCGTTTGGCGGCGTCGGGAATTGTAAACGCCCTCCAGTACGCCTCTTCCGTAACCACATTCCCCCTCCTCAGCTCGTGCAGGAAAAGGGAGGGAGTTTTGCCGATCCACTCACGCAAATCTGGCAACTCCCTCTTGACGTCCTTCCAGTTGCCCTCTTGATCTTCCGTGTTCATTTTACAGATGAAATCATCTGCGCTCTGCCAGAGTAAGGTACAGCAAGTGAGTGAGCAGCAATCGCCAGATCATCATCATCACGCACAACAGGGCTGACCAATTGAGAGCCATCCCTTGACCGCACCAAAGCATGGATCAGCCTCCCAAGCATATAGGGGGGGGGGAGGTGGAGTACATGACGATAAACCAAAAATATAAACTTTGAAATGCATCTTCTTGGTTCATTCGGTAAAGTCACGTAGAAGGGAAATAATAAAATAATAAAAATAAAACATAGTAAAATAAAAATTATCACGACGTTTTGGCCAAAACACAAGTAGCCCTCCTCAGGTGAAGAAACAGAGCTGTCGGAAAGACAGCGTCCCAATGAACACCGCCAAGCTTGGCAGCATATATTTAAGCTGGGTTAGAGGAGGAGAGCGCCTTGACAAAGAAGTTTACATATCAACAGCGGAATTAAGCATATTGATGAAAAATGCAGATATGGGATTAGTCACTCCTTGTGGAATGTGTAGGTGGTGGGGGAGGTATCAAAGTCATATTATGCTCGTGTATTATGTAGGATTAGCAGTAATAAAGGGAGGGAAATTTTAATCGTAAGGAGCTGCAGCAGCCAAACCACCACGTATCAAGCTCGTGCATTGTGGGCAACAAAGAAGGAGTAGCTTCTAAAGAACTGCAAATGCCCTACTACCATACAATACACCTATGTGAAAAAACTAAATATAAACTACATCAATATAATCAATGTGCTCAATATACTCTCCAATAAGTTGAGCTATTAACATTAAGTAACTGGGTATACGCTACACTATATAATGACTACCATATAGTGAACCGATAAAAAACTAAAATATAATATACATCAATGTAATCAATATACTCAATATACTCTCCTATAAGCTGAGCTACTAACAGTAAGTCATACATTACACTTCTACAGTGAGGGAAACAAGTATTTGATCCCCTGCTGATTTTGTACGTTTGCCCACTGACAAAGAAATGATCAGTCTATAATTTTAATGGTAGGTTTATTTGAACAGTGAGAGACAGAATAAGAACAACAAAATCCAGAAAAACGCATGTCAAATTTTTTATAAATTGATTTGCATTTTAATGAGGGAAGTAAGTATTCGACCCCTCTGCAAAATATGACTTAGTACTTGGTGGCAAAACCCTTGTTGGCAATCACAAAGGTCAGACGTTTCTTGTAGTTGGCCACCAGGTGTATGGTTTCTCAACCATACATCCACTCACTCACTCACCAACTAAGTCATTCACTCACTCATCCACCCACTCAGCCACTCACCCTCTCACCACCCACTCACCCTCTCACTCACCAACCCACTCACCCATCCACTCAACCACTCGCCCACTCAATACCCACTCACTCACCCACCCATCCACCCACTTACACACTCAACCACACACATACCCACTCACTAGGCCTGATCACCCCAGGATCAGGGCCTTGACCACGGAGTCCTTAGAAAGAAGGCGATCTGAAGGTCGTTGGAGAGTCAACAAGGACCGGTTGCCGCAGATTATAATTACGAGTGCTGCCACGCCTATTGCTTCACTTACTTATGCTGACGATGCGACTCACGTGGTCTGCTGAGGTTCTCATTAAGCAGAGACACCAATAACAGGAGTGTGTTTTGGTCAGGTCACACAGACTTGGCGAGGTGGAATGACTTACATTCAAATACTCTTCTTCCATATTCAAATATATGTTTCGGCTTCTATCACGACTCCTTTCTATATAAGAGAGAAAGATACATTATTATAGAGAATTGTTTTATATATATGCTTGAGAATTATACATGACATCATATAGACCTGTCGTGATGGGCTTATTCTCTTCTTCATATATCTTAAAAGGGTAATGGGTTAATGTGAAGTGTAATATCACAACCAACTCAAGGATGTTCATTATTTTGGAAAATCGCCAGATGATGATTGTTGATGTAATTACCAGCGAAATGTCATGGTACTCAAATTGTAAATGTGGTGGATTTACTCTCCAACACACCGGTGGGCTGAAGTAGTATACTACACTATACACTACACTATACAATACACACCACACTACTCTAAATATACAGCAGCAGGTATCTATCATCAGGGTCTGGCATCGAACCAACGACCTCCTGCATACCAAGCAAGGGAGTCAACATCCTCCTAGCCACCGCGACTTACCCCAGGGGAAGTGTCCATGGCAGATTCTGTAGAGAAAGAGGCCCACGGTCACCACAAGTAAAATGAGGAACACGGCAGCACCAGCGATAGCTCCAGCAACGTCTGAGGATCGTACACAAATAGCAGAGTAGTGTATAGTTTAGTGTATAATGTAGTGTGTGTAGTGTATTGTAGTGTAGTGAATAATAGTGTAGTGTGCAGTGTAGTGTAGTGTGGTAGTGTATAGTATATGGTAGTGTATATTGTATAGTAGTGTGTATAGTGTATAGTAGTGTAGCGTAAAGTAATATGTAGTGTATAGTAGTGTGGTGTGTAGTGTATAGCAGTGCATAGTAAGTGCATAGAAGTGTAGTGTCTAGTAGTGTAGTGTCTAGTAGTGTAGTGTCTAGTAGTGTAGTGTCTAATAGTGTAGTGTGGTTGTATAGTGTAGTGTAATACATACATAGGATTTGACAAAACAAAGAAAGTTGTAATTTAACGTGCTCTATGCTTAATTTGTGTGTTTTAATGATTCACCTAAAAAAAATCTGTCCAAGCCCAGGCTAGGAACCACCACTGATGCAGTGAATTGCCATGTTGCAATTGCCATCAGTTTCTCTCTTGCATAGCACCGAGGTCATGGGAGCCTTTGACACTTCACGTGGCCCCAAGAGTGCACCCAGCCTGGCACAAAGGCCATAGGGACGTCACCGCCACTTGGAAGTGAGCAGCTGCTGTTGTTGTTGGTACATCGCGATAGATGGCAATGAATTGGGGGTAGGGTTATGGGTGGTTGGCCTTCACACTTTGCACTTGCAACACGAAGGTTATTTGTTGTCCTCCTCTAAAACCGACATGCAACCGAGGATCCACGCTACAAATCGCAGAAAAGGTTTTGCCCTTTCTAACAATGAAGCTGGGGTTGTGTTAAGATGTTAAAACACCAAACAGAAACCTTTTGCAAGGAGTCAAGTTACTGTATTAACCACATATACTTGTGTTGAGCATGCAAACAAAACATGCTGTGGTAATTGTCTCTAATTGCCTCTCTAATTGTCTTTAAAACTGATTGGTCCACATGTTTTAACATCTTTTCAACATCTCCTGTTTTACTGCCAGAAAGATTAAAACCTCTTCTCAGATTTTGAAACTGACAAGGGAGGTCCCCATGATGCTACAAATCGCATTGGCAAATGTGATTTGTAACTTTGATCCATGGCCACACCTGCATGACCCATAGTTACATTCGAAAGTGTTATTTTATCGAGGGTACTGTTGATGTCTTGGTGTGATCTGAGACTGTTGTTGTTGTTTTCTTGGTGTGGTCTGGGACTGTTGTTGTTGTTTTCTTGGTGTGGTCTGGGACTGTTGTTGTTTTCTTGGTGTGGTCTGGGACTGTTGTTGTTTTCTTGGTGTGGTCTGGGACTGTTGTTGTCTTGGTGTGGTCTGGGACTGTCCTCTGGTCTGCACCCCTATCGTGTGTTTGTGTGCTTGTTCCTGTAACTCGCACACTGCGTGCGCCTCACCTGGACGTCTGAGAACAAAGAACTTCATAGCTCATCAGATCCCTCCTCCTCCTGCAAGCCTCTACACTACTAAACACTACACAATATACATTATATACTACACCATGTACTACTATACACTACACTGTACACTACACTACATATTACACTACTATACACTACACTATACACTACACTCCAATACACTACTATACACTACACTCCGAAACACTACACATCCATACACTACACTACTATACACTATTACTATGCACTACACCACTATACACTACAATATACATTACACTACAATACACTACTATACACTACACTATACACTATCCTGATTTGAAGCTTTCGTGACTGCAGGAATCCATACTCTTTGGTTCTTTTGGTAAAATCACGTGGGTAGAAAATTAATAGATCACGACGTTTCCATCGCAACACAAGCAACCATCTTCAGGTAAGAGCTCCTCTCGCTTTTGTTGGGATCGAAACGTCGTCATCTATGAATTTTCTATCTACGTGACTTTACCGAAAGAACCAAAGAGTATACACTACCCTATATACTAAACTATAAACTACACTATAAACGAAACTATACACTACAATTCTCATCACGGTCGTCATGCACCTTTCCCGCGCAGCTCTCCCAATCCCCGTGTGTGTCCCCCTTACCCTCCCCGACCCGCCAGCGTCGATTGTGAGCGCGTTAGAGCCACGTGGGTGCAGCGAGCGGTCGTCCGAACCTGCGTCTCCCTTCGCTTCCGTGCAGGGGTCCGATGGGGAAGCCCTCTGGAAGCCGTCTTTACAGCGACAGAGAGTATCCTCCATGGTAGTGCATCCGCTCACAGTTTTCTCGACTGCGGAACAACACAACCACCACCGCCGCCGCATGTGGGTAATACTTTGGTGAACATCTGAGCATGCAGTGTAGCATCACGCGGTAACGCGAAGCGACACGCGGTGACACTTTATTGAAGAACGGTCATGCGGCACGGTGAAGAATGATTCTAAATATGGAGGGAAAAACGGAGGACACGGAGAAAAATCCACGCGACCACGAAGAGAGAGACGCAAACACCAAAAATACAACAGCAGGCATCGTCAGGGTCGTGATTGATTCCAGGACCTCCCGTGTACCAGGCGAGGTAGTCAACATCTCCCTCGCCGCAGTGGCAAGATTTGACTTTGTATTGTGAGTGGTGAGTGAATCGTGCAAACCACTTGATTCCCCAAACCCGTCCCCTCCTTTTTGTGAACGGGTTCACGTATTGTCCACAAACAACCACCCAACCCCACTTACAATTCACGTTGCAAACGGTGCACTTCTTGCACTCGTTGGAGCTGTTCGGTTCGTCCATGTAGTCTTCTCCTGGGTAGCATTCCGTGCAAAACGTGCCGCTGTTTGGTTCGCAATCCATCACCTTCCTGCTACCTGCAAGTTGACAGCAGGGGTGGTGGGTAGGTGGGTGGGTAGGGGGAGGGAAACAGACTCATCGACTGAACTAGAATTCAAATCCAAGGGTGTTTTTTATCCTTCCCCACCTTGCTGTGTTCCAGACTCACTTAGGAACGGGTCTCAGGAACGAATTAGGTTCACAACCTGAGGACTGCCCGTCCACTACTATACACTGTACACTGTACTGTACACTACAGTACTAGTTTGAAAACTAATTTCTTTAGAGCTGCTGCTTGTTGTTGTTGTGTAGATTGTTGTCTGCTTTGCCCGTACCTCCTATTTTATATATTGCTTAGTTTGTTGTGCCAAGAACAATGGATACATGTAGATACAATGACCGAAGCAACAGACCACTTACGTGTGAACGGACAGTTAGGAACTCCACCAAGTCCTCTGATCGGTGCAGGGAGGCCTCAAAGACGATAGGTTGAAGGAGAGATTCAAATGTAAAATGTGGGTAACGAGGGTCGACTGTAGGGGGGCGATGGTTTACGGCCGTTGGAGGACGCGGATTGGCTGAAGGGAGTGGGGTGAGCGAAGCTTCCACAAAGGGGGCTCGGAGGATATAAAAGTGTAGTGTGTAGTGTATTGTAGTGTATAGTAGTGTTGTGTATAGTAGTGTAGGGTATAATAGTGTATTATACTGGTAGGAACAAAGTGGACCAGCCACCAATAGATTAATTCGTCCGTCCGTCCGTCCGTGTAGCAACATCGCCCCCTACTGCAAACACTTGGCATGACCCTACAAAAACCGAGACCTAGGCCTGAAACTCTCCCTTCGTATCGTACCCCCGCGTGTGTGAAAGGGAGTTATGTTTAACAATGTTACATTCCCTGATGTTTTTAAATATAAACATTTACATTTAAAGCTTTTATATAAATAATTTAAACATTTATATTAACAATTAACTAACGGCGGCCTAAGGCCTACAGCTAGGCCTAAAGCCTAGACCTAGGCCTCAAGCTCTCCCTTCGTATAGTTCCCCCCTGTGTGTGAAAGGGAGTTAATGTTTAACAATGTTACATTCCCTGATGTTTTTTAATAGAAACATTTAAATGTAAAGCTTTTACATTAAAAACAACTCCATACCCCCCCCTCGTCGGCGGCTCTCCAGCCGAGCCAGGCCTGGGAATCTCTCCCCCGCTCGGGGTGTATTGGGCGGGGCTACAGCGGCAGGGGGCGGGGCTAGGCAGGGCTGGGCGGGGCCACGGGTGGCCGGGGCGGGGTTACGCGGGTGGAGGGCGGGGCCACGGGGCATCCACTTATTGGCGGCCATTTTTTGCCATTTCATTTTATTATAGCCATTCAATTGTTCGGTCCTACCAGCCCACCCCACAGGGTCCTGTTATAGTAGTGTAGGGTATAGTAGTCTAGGGTATAATAGTATAGGGTATAGTAGTGTAGTGTATAGTAGTGTATTGCATAGCAGTATAGTGTATAATAGTGTAGTGTATAATAGTGTATTGTAGTTGTTGATGGAGGGTGACTGTCTCCAACTGCTCAGTAGTAGCGTGCTTCATGAGCAGCTACCAACCACCACCACACTGCAGCTCAAACGATTGGATTTATCCACTCATTTGAGTATATTCCTTAAAAAATAAATTATTTCCCAACCCTGTGCTCAATTCACATAAAGCATTAACTTGAATATGGTAACTCTGAGCGATGAAATGCACTATTTAATCATCCAGACTGAAACGTAATTTCATTTAGAACTGCCGCTTGTTTTTTGGTTTTTGTTGTTGTGTTCAGTGTTATTGTCTTTCCTCCCACACATATTAGCCACGATCGACTACATACGGTGTGAAAAAGAGTTCAACATATACACTGCCCATAGACTAACACTACCCATATAGATTCAACACTGCCCATAGACTAACACCACCCATATAGATGCTACACTACCAATAGACGAACACTACCCATATAGGTTCAACAATGGCCATAGACTCAACACTAACCATATAGATTCAACACTGCCCAGAGACTAATACTACCCATATCGATTCAACAATTCCCATAGACTCAACACTACTCATATAGATTCGACATTGCCCATAGACTACACAACCCATATAGATTCAACACTGCCCATAGACTCAAAAATGCACCTCCAGTTATCCACTGTTGGCTACGTGCAGTGCGATAGAAGTTCAACGAACCTACATTCAAACCTTTCGATGGTGGTATTTGAGTCAGGCCTTTCGGTCTTTGCAGGTTACCTGCTTGACAGAGTTCACAGCAGATGCCACTGCTTGACAAGTAGTGTGTTGTTTCGTTACATCCGCCTTTGATAACCTGCGTGGAAAAAAACATTCAAGACGAGAAAAAGTTAACAACCAAAGTAATTTATGTTACCAGGTGTAACGAGACACAACTGAGCTGCTGTGTAGTGGCTCATTTGTTCAAAAGCGACCCTGACCATCACAAATGATGATAGCAACTTAACCAAGTGGCTGATGTCATCATCAATGTGTGGACAGGCATAGCAGCATCCCAATACTCTAAACGCATAGAGATGCATAGAGACACATATATGTGCGATCCATAGAGCCCTATGAAGATACATAGAGACCCACAGAGACACAGAGACCTATAGTGATACATGTAGACCCATAGAGGCACATAGAGATCCATAGAGACACACAGAGATCCATAGAGACACACAGCGATCCATAGAGACACACAGCGATCCATAGAGACACAGAGATCCAGAGACACACAGAGATCCATAGAGACACAGAGCTATATAGAGATACACAGAGATCCATAGAGATACAGAGATCCATAGAGACACACAGAGATCCATAGAGACACACAGAGATCCATAGAGACACAGAAATCCATAGAGACACACAGAGATCCATAGAGACACACAGAGATCCGTCGAGACACATAGAGATCCAGAGACACACAGATCCATAGAGACACACGGAGATCCATAGAGACACATAGAGATCCATAGAGACCCACAGAGATCCATAGAGACCCACAGAGACATACAGAGACTTGTAGAGACACATAGAGACCCATAAAGACCCACAGAGATCCATAGAGACCCACAGAGATCCATAGAGACACACAGAGATCCATAGAGACACACAGAGATCCATAGAGACACATAGAAATCCATAGAGACACATAGAAATCCACAGAGACACACATAGATCCATAGAGACCCACAGAGATCCATAGAGACCCACAGAGACATACAGAGACTCGTAGAGACACACAGAGATCCATAGAGACCTATACAATAAAATATTTTATGTACCAGGTGTAAGACCCCACTGAGCTGTGTAGCTCTTTTTAAGAAGTGACCCTGACCACCACGCAGTGGCGGATTTCATCATCACTTAGGAATTTATATCAGCAACGACTCTGAACGAGTGGTGATGTTAATTCTAAATGTGGGGGAGAAAAACCAGAGGACTCCGGAAAAAAAGACACGCGACCACGGGGAGAGATTTCAAATATACATCAGCAGACATCTGGGTTTGGGATCAAACCCATAACCTCCTGCATACCAGACGAGGTAGTTAACATCTCCTAACCACCGTGATGTCAAGGTCAGGATCGAACCCATGTCCTCTTGCATACCCGGCGAGGTAGTTAACATCTGCCTAGCCACCGTTATGTCAGAGTCGGGATCAAAACCACGAGCTCCTGCGTATCAGGCGAGGTCGTTAACATCTCCTAGCCACCGTGATGATGATGAGAGAGACACGCAGACTCCACATATACAGCAGCAGCAGGCATTGTCAGTATTGGGATTGAACCCACGCACTCCTGCATACCTAGTGAGGGAGTCAACATTTCCCTATCCACCACGGGGACACCGCAATGCTCAGCGTCCTCGCCCACCATGAATTTGTCCATCAACAGTGGCCGCTTTGGGTGGGGACAAACCGCAGACCTCCCAGCCACACTCCGTATGCTCAGCTTCACGTTATCTGTTCTGCCATCGCCCCTGCCATCGAGTTACAGGACGAGGATCTGCAACCCGGGGGATGAGGGGTTCCCCTAGGTCGACCCAGCCTCAAGTGAGCTACAAAATGTAGTAAAGCATCGCCAATGGGGGAGACAAAGGCGGCTGGGCACGCGTGCTGCTGGCCACCCCCACCCTCTCTGTGTGTGTGCCACAGTGACGGTAGCCTCTATAGGTGCTGTTACTCGCTAACAGCCCTCCAACAACAGAGGGTGGAGGAGCAACGCTCACAACAACGAGTGGAGTGCCAGGTGACTAAAGCACAGCAAGTTAGCACAGTAGGGGGCACAGGCGGTGAATCTCGGTCATCTCAGTCAGTCGACCCATGGCACCTGGGTCTGCCCCATGACCTCCTTCAGCGGGCGTTCGACACTTCACGTGGCCTGGCATAAGTGTCGTGGTGACGTCACCGCCACTTAGTGGCGAATGGCGGTTGTTGTTGTTGCTATAGCCGAGCGCACAGGAACGACGCTCACAACAATGAATGGAGCACCGGGCAGATAAAATGCTGCGAGTTGTAACAGTAGGGGGTACAGCTGGTGGTGCATCTACCAGTCATCTCAGTCAGCCAACCCATGGCTTTGAGATGCTGGGGTGCAATTGACGAGCCCTACAATTTTCCTGGTGGCCACACGTTTTTGTTTGTACCTTACCTCTTGTAGCCCGTTGCTGATCGTCGCACTTTCAGAGAGAAGTATCTGCAGACAACAGGAAACGCGCGTCCATCAACACGTTCTCAAAATACGCCATTTAAACTAAAACTGCGTCTATTTCAAATTTCAAAAATAAAAAATGAGGACCAAAAGAATGCACAATGGTAAATAAGGAAGCGGTGAATCCATAGAGAGATCGATAGAGACCTATAGAGATACTTAGAGACTCATAAACTAAACCAAACTATGTATTTATTTAACCAGATGTAAGGTCCCCAACACTGAACTATGTTTGTTCAGAAGCCACCCCTGGCCACCGCACCCAACGATAGCAGATCAACCAAGTGGCTAATATCGTCACCGCATGGACATTCACAGCAGCAGCCAAATAATGTAGATGCATAGAGACCTATAGAGACCTATGGGGATACATAGAGACCCACAGAGACACATAGAGACCCACAAAAGAACATAGAGACCTACGGAGATACATCGAAACCCATACTAAAACTAAACTATGTTGTATTCCACCAGGTGCTGTGTAGTGGCTCTTTTGTTCAGAAGCGACCCTGGCCATCACAAATGATAGCAGATCAACCAAGTGGGCTGATATAATCATCATCACCGCGTGTAAATTTACAGCAACAGTCAAATACTCTAAACGCGTGGTGACATTGATTCTAAATGTGGAGGGGAAAACCGGTTGATGTGGAGACAAAATCCACACGACCACAGTGAGAGAGAGAGAGAGACAGCAGACTCTACATATGCAGCAACCCGGAAAGTGGGTTTTTTGCTTTTATTTTAAATTTTATTTTACATTTTATTTTAAATTTTATTTTAAATTTATTTTCTATCTACGTGACTTTACCGAAAGAATCAAAGAATATGAATTCCTGCAGTCACTAAAGTTTTAAGTCAAAATTTAACATAAAAAAGTTATACACTTTTATATCTTGGACATGCGTATTTACAGATCACACACTGCTTAATCCCAAACAAATGTGTTGCACCGATTAATCCAAAATCCGCGTGCTCGCCACTACAGTACAATAGTTGCAATATATTTACACACAGGGGGGCTGAGTTTGGTTGATGTTGACTGGCTGTGGCTCTAACATCCACTTAGTGGGGCTGCGTTTGATTGATGTTGATTGGCTGTGGCTCTGCTATCATCCAATTAGTGGGGTTGAGTTTGATTGATGTTGATTGGTTGTGGCTCTGCTATCATCGACGTAGTGGGCCGAATCTTCTGCTGGGTGGGTGCCAGGAAAGTGACATTATCACTGAGCACGCGATCATCCGTCGGTCGAACATTCTCAATCGAAAGAGTAACAATTAAAATCGCCATCAGTTGTGCATCATTTTGAGTGACTTATCCGATCATTTAATTGGTGAGTTTTCATTTTGAAAACTTTGCCGTGGCAGAGAAACTTATTTTTTTTTGACAGACATCCGAGGAAAATTCGTGCGAAGAAAAGAGAGTCAAATAGACATCAATTCGTGGCGATTTACCAACACTAAATGCAAGCTTGGGGCAAGGCAACACAACAACGGTCCCAGACCCCACCAATACAACAACAACAGTCCCAGACCACACCAAGACAACAAGAACAGTCCCAGACCACACCAGACGTCATCTGGTTTGCGAAGGCGCCGAGCGTAAGTTCACTCACAATCGTCGCAAACAATTGAAGGGCGATGAAGCACGACGGAAGATTCATTTTTTAGGTCCCTCCGCTCGTCCGCCGTCGGTGATTTTCCTTCCTCTGCGCTGCGGCTTCTTCACGAGCCTCCTCCACTCCGCGTGCGCTCGCTTAAGCGGCGCCGACTGAAGAGAGAACTGAAAGAATGACGGAAATGGTTATCGATCAGCATCTTCGGAGACCTTGAAAACAGAATGCGAGGTGATGTGTAGTAAAACAAACACGCGAGAGAGAGCGCAGGGTATTTGCTAGGTATGGCAGTGTTGTAAAACCAGTCAAGCTGCATTCCAGGTCGTAGCCCCTTCAAGTTGGTGTGAGGCTTTGGCTACCCCCGCCTCTTACAACGTCGTTGGCGCAGCGTGGAAGAGGAGACCCAAAAATGCCCACTGGAGGGCCTCTCTCGATGCTCCCTCTCGTGCGTCCTGTTGTGATGAGATGTTGACTACCTCGCCTGGTACGCAGGAGGTCGTGGGTTCGATACGGACCCTGACAATGCCTGCTGCTGTATATGTGGAGTCTGTGTCTCTCTCCCCGTGATCGCGTGGGATTTTTTTATCGGGGTCCTCCGGCTTCTTTCTCCACATTAACAATCAACGTCACCACGCGTTCAGAGTCTTGGTCTGCGCTGTAAATATCCACAACGATGATGATGACGATGTCAGCCACTGCGTTGAGCTCCCATTCGTGGCCAGGTGGCTTTTGAAAAAGAGCTACTTAGCTCAGCGGGTTCTCACCTGGTAACATGATAGCTTAGTAAATAGTTTAGAGATTATTTATAGTCACCCGTCCCGGATTACTGGTTACCGGCGGTGTCATGAACTCCCACTGTGGAGGAGGCTCGTGAAGGATGCCACTGGACTGGGTAGTTCCAGGCTAGGTGCACATTGATGAAGCTACTGAAACACACACTGAGATACACAGACACACTCAGACACAAAGATACACAGAATCACTCAAACATATACACAGATACAACAACCGCCATTCGCCACTAAGTGGCGGTGACGTCACCACGACGCTTGTGCCAGGCCATGTGCACCTTGAGGCCACGTGAAGTGTCGAACGCCCGCTGGCAGTAGTTCACGGGGCAGACCCAGGTGCCTGACCGAGATGACCGAGATGACTGGCTGATGCACCACCTGTGCCCCCTACTGGGCCAACTTGCTGTGCTTTAGCCACCCGACGCTCCGCTCGTTGTTGTGAGCGTCACACCTCGGCCCTCCGTTGTTGTTGGAGGGCGAATTCCTCCAACTGCCCAGTAGCGTCCTTCACGAGCCTCCTCCACAGAGGCCGATCTCGACACCGCTGGTCATCGGCAAGTCCACTCAGCTCCACGTCCCCCTGTACCACATCACTCCATCTCTTCTCTAGCCCGTGCCGCACCCGTTTAGCCCCCCTCGATCCGGCCCATAGGCATGCGGTGACTGGGCATGCGGGCAACATGACACAGACACACACACAGATACACATACACAGACACACACAGATATACAGACACACACAGAAACACACGCAGATACACAGACACACACACACACGTAGGTGAAAAAACTATAACAATTATAATAAAAATAACAATACAAATTTTAAATAACTAAATTAAATCACGACGTTTCGGGCGCAACGCAAGCGCCCATCATAATACAGACACACACATCGATACACACATACAAAGACAGATACAAAGACATACAGACACACACACAGATACACACCGATATACAGACACACACAGACATACACAATACACCCAGAAACAACAACAACCGCAATTCGCCACTAAGTGGCGGCGACGTCACCACGACGCTTGTGCCAGGCCATGTGCACCTTGAAGCCACGTGAAGTATCGAACGCCCGCTGGCAGGAGGCCACGGGGCAGACCCAGCAGGAGCCACGGGTCGACTGAGATGACTGAGATGACTGGCTGATGCACACATACACACAGACACACACATACACACACAGATACACAGACACACACACATGGATGCACACATACACAGACAAACTCACACAGATACACAGACACACACACAGACACACGCACACAGATACACAGACACACACACAGAAACACACGCAGATATACACACAGACACACAGATACACAGACACATACAGAGACACACAGATACACACAGATACACACAGACACACACACAGACACATACACACAGACATACACACACAGATACACAGACACACACACACGGATACACACATACACACACAGATACACAGACACACACAGACACGCACACAGATACACAGACACATACAGAGACACACAGATACACACAGACACGGACACACACACAGACACACACATCCGTGTCTCACCTGTGCCACTTGGATGACGACTCACCGTCTTCACCACGCTCAGCCTGGTCCAGACAGACACAGAGACAGCCTCAGACACAACCTCAGACAGACACAGACACAGAGACTGCCTTGGTGTGTCTCGTAAATCCCCCACGCCGAGGTCACCGAGCTCCTTGCTTCCGTTTGCGTGGGACTGAAGACTTCCCTGTCCTTGAGTTTCGGCTTAACGATCGCTGCTGATTCTTATCGCTCTCGCCGCGAGCCTCTAGCGGCAGGCGATGACACGGATTTCCTTCTGCTTGGTTCTTTCGGTAAAGTCATGTAGAAGGTAAATAATGGCTCATTCAGACGCTGTCTTTCCGACAGACCTGTTCTTCACCTGAGGACGGCTGCTTGCGTTGTGTCCGATACGTCGTGAGAATTGTATTTTATTATGTTTTATTTTTATTATTGTATTATTTCCAGTGGCGGCTCCTGCAAAATCTCTCAGGGGGGGCAAATGTCTGGATGATTGATAAGGATAAGGTCCACCCATGCAATGGATAAATTAACAGCTTAAGCATGTAAAGGCAACTTCACTTCTTTAATATTAATGAAAAATAAAGTGACTCTTACAATACATCTTGTTTGTTTCTATACTCACTATTAAAACAAACCACTCAAGTTTATTTTATTAAAGATTCCACTAGATTTTGATTTAAAACTTTCGTGACTGCAGGGATTCATCTTCTTGGTTCTTCGGTAAAGTCACGTAGAAGGGAAGTAATAAAATAATAAAAATAAAACATAATAAAATTATTCTCACGACGTTTCGGCCACAACGCAAGCAGCCCTCCTCAGGTGAAAACCAGGTCCGTCGAGGCGACAGAGTCTGAATGAAACAGCACACGAGCTTGGAGCATATATATAAGCTGGGCGCCTTGACAAAGGAATTTGCATATCAAGAGGAATTTAGCATATTTATGGGAAATGCAGGAATGTGATTAGTACTGCATATGCATGTGCATTATGCAGGATTAACAGCATCAAAGGGAGCTGCAGTTGCTGCTGCTGCTGCAGTTGCTGCTGCTGCTGCTGCTGCAGTTGCTGCTGCTGCTGCAGTTGCTGCTGCTGCAGTTGCTGCTGCTGCTGCAGTTGCTGCTGCTGCTGCAGTTGCTGCTGCTGCTGCAGTTGCTGCTGCTGCTGCAGTTGCTGCTGCTGCTGCAGTTGCTGCTGCTGCTGCAGTTGCTGCTGCTGCTGCAGTTGCTGCCTTATCCATTTTAATATAACACTATGTATTATTCTACCCACCCTAATGTGTATCACACTACTATATATTTACTATACAATTACGACACCATACATTACTCTGCACACTGCACCATGCCAGTGAGTGGAACGTTGTGGCCGAAACGTCGTGAGAATAACTTGCGTTGTGGCCGAAACGTCGTGAGAATAATTTTATTATGTTTTATTTTTATTATTTTATTACTTCCCTTCTACGTGACTTTACCGAAAGAACCAAGAAGAAGATTCCACTAGGTGGCGATAAATTATATTGTTGGATGAAACGTGCTTACGTATGATGACGTTAGCACGTATGATGACGTAAGTACGTTAGTGCATGCCCTCCCGGAAGCCATAGAGAATGCATTGGAGCGCCCGCCGTTCGAAAAAAACATCTTTCAATGTAAGTCTATGGGGCCACTCGGGGCGATTCTCAGCCGGAGTGAAATCGCCCAAAAAGAGGCGGTACTCCACAGAACGTGACATGACGCTGATTGGACTATATCCAGAGGCTGACAGTGACGGCTAGCGTGACTCTGTGGTTCAATGACATTGGTGGTGCGTCGCCCAATCGCCCTAATGAAGAAACCGCCCCTGATTATTTCCCTTATACGTGACTTTACCGAAAGAACCAAGAAGATGAATCCCTGCAGTCACGAAAGCTTTAAAACGGATTTCCTTTTTGAGAGACAGGATATCGAAATGACCCGAATGTTAACTCCTTTGCCTGGTCTACAGGAGGTCGTGTGTTCAATAACAGCCCATGGCGATGCCCGTTGTAGATGTGGAGTCTGTTTGTGTCTCTCTCTGGTCTATATGCGAGGGTTCGATCCCGACCCTGTCGATACCTGCTGATTTATATTTTGATTCTGCATCTCTCTCTCATCATCATCATCACAGTAGTGAGATGTTAACTACCTCGCTTGGTCTACAGGAGGTCGTGGATTCGACGTCACCACGCGTCCAGAGTCTTTGTCTGCTGCTGTAAGTTTCCACAACGATGATGATGATGACGATGTCAGCCGCTGCGTTGAGCTCCCATTCGTGGCCAGGTGGCTCTTGAAAAATAGCTACTTAGCTCAGCGGGTTCTCACCTGGTAACATAATAATAGCTTAGTAAATAGTTTATAGATTACATTTTGAATGAAGACTTTCGTGACTGCAGGAATTCATATTCTTTGGTTCTTTCGATAAAGTCACGTAGATAGACATTTTATTAAAATAAAAATAAAACCAATGTAGACTGTACTTTTTTTCTTATTCACTTTATTATTATTATTATTTTTCTATCTACGTGACTTTACCGAAATAAGCAAAGAATAGTTTATAGATTGTTGATAGTCACCCGTCCTGGGTTACCGGTTACCAGTGGTGTCAAGAGCGCCCTCTGTGGAGGAGGCTCGTGAAGGATGCCACTGGGCAGTGCCAGGCTAGGTGCACGTTGATGAAGCTACTGGGGCAGTTGGAGGCAGTCGACCTCGAGCAACAACAGCGGAGGGCAGAGGAACGACGCTCACAACAACGAGCGGAGCACCGGGTGGCTTAAGCACAATAAGTTGGCACAGTAGGGAGCACAGGTGGTGCATCAGCCAGCCGTCTCAGTCATCTCAGTCAGTCGACCCGTGGCACCTGGGTCTGCTCTGTGACCTGCCAGCGGGCGTTCGACACTTCACGTGGCCTCAAGGTGCACGGAGCCTGGCACAAGCGTCGTGGTGACGTCACCGCCACTTGGTGCATTGAAAAATTACAATACTCCGATTGATGCTCCTGCTGTTGTGGAGTGACTCATGCAGCCAGCTATGGCTGCAGGGTTTTGGTAGTACATGTTGTTTATGCCATTTATTGTGAAAATTCCGTCACAGTTCCTATGATTGCTTTTTCATTGCTTTCATGGCTTTATTTTGGTGATTTCGAAAAGTGTATTGGTTTAGCCATGTTTGTTTGTTGTAGTACAGAGTTAGACTGATGGCCTTAATCTAAGTTGTCTTGTGGTTGTTGTTGTTGTTTGACTTGCATCCCACTGGGATTTTTGCACACAGTGTTGGTGTACGGTGTTTTTTTCTGCAATATGTTGCTGTCTTTTCTTGGATTTTCTGTTTGCAATCAGTCACATATTCACTTTAAGATGTTTTTTGTTCATGTTTTTGTTTTTTGTTTGTTGCGGTTGCACCCGATTCAGTAGCCGAATGGCTCACAGGGCTATACCTAATAAATAAACTTGAACTTGAACTAGTAGCGAATGGCGGTTGTTGTGTGTATCTGTCTGTGTCTTTGTATCTGTGTGTATCTGTGTGTGTCTTTGTGTCTGTGTGTATCTGTGTGTGTGATTGCGTATGTGCAGCTGCTCGCTAACAGCACTTGCCCGCTACGAGTCTGTTTAAGGCTACACGTGGGAACTTTGTTGCGGCCATAACATGTGAAGTTAAGTTACCCATCACTTATGCTTCATTATTTGTTGTTGTGAATCAACTCCACGCCTACGTGTTTGTCCGTCTGCCTGTTTATCTGCCTGTCTCTCTGCCTGTTTGTTTGTCCGTGGAAAACATTCTGAAATCTCAACTCGTGCTTTGTAGAGTTGTGTTTGTTGTTGTCATTCTCAAGCACGACAGTGACACCGGTCATGGATTTGGGCAACTCCAGTTGGGGTGTCTCCATTCACTTTCAAAAATATTTCAGAAAAGTCGACTGGTTTATTGATTTTTTTTTATTAATTAAAGAAGATCAATGATAACCCTATTTAGCGTGTTTGTGATCAGTATTCTTAGGTTTTATCGGTATTCATTTTAATTTTTTTTACCTACGTGACTTTACCGAAAAAACCTAAGAATATATAATCCTTGCAGTCACGAAGCTTCAAATCTAGAATTTGTGTTCAGTGTTGTTGTCCTGCCTCACGCACCTACCGATTAGCCACGGTTGACTACATACGGTGCCAAAAAAAAAGTTCAACGCACACAAGTAGTGTAATAGTGCCGGCAGGTGGACCTGAGCGACAACTGTGGTGGACAGACAGCACACACGCCGGTGAGGGCGTGCACGGTGCGTGTTGGCAGAGCAGAGGAACTCGGGCAAGGGTCACTTATGACCCCATATGGAGGCCCCTGGAACCTGCGAGTGGGTTCGAGAAGGGAGGCGCTGTCAGGGTGGAGCCTGGCCGCGTTTGCAGCATAAAAGGAGCCGAAAAACAAGGTGCTCAAGGGTGCTTGTTCTGGGAGTGGACTCGTCTCGCCGTCGCTATCGTCTCATCGCCGTCGTCGCTGCCGTCTCTGCTAGATATTGCGCTACGAGATAGTCGTTGGCCATCTCAGTTAATTGAATGCCCATATATGGAGGAGTTGGCTGTGGCTGCGCTGTAACGAAATGAATCCACGACTGGAAGGGGAATCGCGGTGTCTCCTCTATCTGTTGACAGGCCCAAGGTAGGTGCCTCACATTTTTATTGAAAGCAAAAAAAAACATCGTGACATCACGGTAAAGTTTCTCAATGTCTGGGCAGCGTGGGTGATAGATTTGCGTCGTGCCGGCAGTCCGGTGACACATTCATACATTTCGCCCACGTTTTCATTAATCCGTGTGAAGTGACACCGACGGCTGGGTACTCGGAGTCTCTTTATTGAAGTCACAGAGTGACTTCGGCCCGGACTTGGTTCTTTACTCTGCGGAGTTGCCCCTTCCCTCGAGCGTCCCCCACTCCACGTGCTCTACCACCTTTCATGCTCCTCGGAGCCACCTTTAAACAACTTTCCGTCGCCTCCCGGCCCGACTCCGTTTCCCGATTTTTATTTTCGGTTCAAATATTTTCCTTATGGTCGATTCAACCCCCCTCTGCCTCCTGGACCCATAATCAATGAGTCATATTTTCGCTGCACATTGGCCTGGGGTGAGTGCTTCTCAATTTTGGATGAGCTCCAGTGAGGGAGCTCCTGGACCGTATCTTGGAGCTCGCCATATTTGTGCCCAGCTCTGTCGAGCAAAGTCGTGCCGCACGAAACCCATTCCAGAGTTTTCTGGTTACCGGTCTGATACCACCCTCCACCCTGGAGCTGATAGGCTTCTGACAGTCTGTAGATGTCCCTGGGTGCTTCCTGCCAACCAAATGTGAAATGGGGGATCACTGAATAAAGTTAAATATCAGATCGGACACTCGCAAATGCAATGGTTTTGTATGCACTCACTGTATGGAGTTTAATATAAAATCTGACAGAATCAAGTTAAAGCCGAAGTAGGACATCGGAAAACTGTATATACACTGAATTGCAGATATGATAAAATCGTACATTAGCATAAGGTTGATGTATGAGTGTAACCTGTGTGGTTATGTACTTGTTAAATGGTGCATATGTTCGCGCTTCAGTATTATAAGGAGATCCTCTTTATTTTCTTTTAAACATTTTTGAAAAAGTGCTTAGGTGATGACCAGTTCGATGGAGAGACTTCACGTGAACACGATCACTGATCGAATCGATTCGGTGTGATTGCTGCGGTGTGATCGAGTTGGCGTATTGTCACCGATCTTAGAATCGGTTCGGCATGGCGCAGGGATTTGATCAGTGAGGCGTGAAGTTGACAGCAGATTTGGTCGTTTCAGATGGTCGACATCGCCGTGTGCTGGAGAGGCCGGTTCAATAAACCCGCGATGTTTGAACGGAGTCTCCTCCTGGATTCCTTGTGTCCAAGCGTGGAGAGCAAGAAGATCACGCCGGAGAACTATCAGCTGTTACATTTGTTGTGTAGTAACTATCGACACCCAGGAAAATTGTAGAACCACACGGAGACGGAACTTCAGGTAAGGGCTTACGCCGGTTTAATAACTCTTCACACGACTCTGTGTACTGCACACTCTCTGACTGGTTACACACGACACTCGACGCCTACACCTGTTATGGTGCGTGTCAGAACTCTGGCCTGCACATGGAACTCCTTCCAACTATCTACGCCCCGGTACGGCTTCCCATGCCTACTTCCTCGTCTGCCCCGGGCGGGGGCTCACCCATCACCGCCCGGTGGCGAGGTGAGGCTTCTAGCCCTCTAGCCTTTCTTAGGCGGCGGCTGGGGTGTTCCCACGCAGGCTCTCGTTCCTCTTCCCATGGCGGACACTTCACTCTCCCTACGGCGACCTCGCCCCCATCTCGGAGTCCCCCTTTAGTACCCCGCCGCCTCGATGACATGGCATCATCACATCACGTCATCCCTCTCCTCTACAGATGACATGACATCATCCGACTACTCCTCTACACTTGTTAATTATTGTTGACCGCCCAAGAGGACGATCACGGCACGGCTTACAAACACATAAAAAACTACATTTTACACGCCGACTTAGCATAGCAGTATGATCGACTATATGAACAGATTAATTCAACAAAATACGTAAAAATCTGACATCAATACCGTTGTTATGTAAGCTCTGTGAACCGCGAAATTTAATAGAAATTCCGTGGTGCCGTGGCGCTTGTGAAGTGATCAGCTGGCCGTCTGTTTTGTTGTACAGTACTCCATGGTGCACATTAATGTTGCCGTTAGTCATGGACCCAAGCGTGCAGCGAGTAGTGAGAGTGAGAGGGTCTTGCGTCTGTGGTCTGGAGGAAGAGGACGTGGCTGGGCTGAGCCTCTCCTCCTAACCAGCCCTCCCCCATCATCTCATTGTCATGGTCATCATCATCGTTAATACTTGTTAATTCTAATAATCGTTACTATTTAAAGGTATGTAAAGTGAATGTAATGTTTATTAATTTATTATTCATAATGTAACATAGTTTAGTTAATAAACAGGCAACTTAGTTAAGCTGTGGCGAGTCTGACCACGGCTGTGGTCCCCCTACCCCCATACAACCCATAGGGCCCCTTATAATTTTACCAACCGCGAGGTTTTTCAGGAACCTGAACCCTCGCGGTTGGCCAGGGAGTTAATCTACATACCTACAGGGGTCGCATGGGCGACCGCTCTGATAGGAGCCTCTCATCTCTAATGAAGAGCATCTGCGTAAGGCAACGGGCATATTGAGAGACTTTTACGCAGCACGGCCATTGCAGGGTACAGCTCTCGATCAAATTTTCCGTGAAATCGATGCAGCAACGACATGGAGTCGGCGCTGTAGAATTTCAAGATGCCCGCCTCCCAGTCCAGGTGAACCCCGACTCTTTGGGGAGGATCTCGCACCGACAGTTTTGTTTCCGTCTCGTTATGTAGCGCTGTGTAGTCGTTGCACCATTTCTTAAGGCTCCACGAAACTTCATTGCACCCAATTTTACGGGATTTGTCTTCACCTTTCCGCGGTATCGCGTCATACGTGAGACCGATGTTGAATTTCTTACAACCTCTCACGTCCACCTCCCAGTAGTGGCGACCCGACGAGAATTTGTCAGAGCAAATTACCACTTTGTAGTGGTCAAACCTGTCTGAGTTGTCAGGGTAAGGTTGGGCGAGTGTGGAGGTCCTGACGGTTTTAAAGTCGGCAGAAATATGGAGGTTCCGATGTGCCGTGTTTGGGTTCAGAGTCGGCGAGCAAGTGCCTGTAAACGATAATAATGTACATTGTGTTAAACAAACATGGTTTACTTTTGAGAAATAAACTTTGCAATATGTCAGTAAGAAGTACAAACATTTGCTGAAAGTTTTAGCGTACCGAGCTGCACTTCACACAGCTGATGTAGTCTTTATCAGGGGTTCCTACGTTTCTGCCCTAGGTTCCTACCTTGACTATGAAATGCAAATCAAATAGAGCCCAATGTATCAACCGACTGACCCAATCTCACTCTCAGTAAACTGTCCACCAAACTGTCTGATGGCTTCAGGACACGTCTGATCGTTACCAGTGGCGTCGCCTGTAATCCAGCACTTTGGAGGCGAGGGTCGGTGAATCACACAAATTCGTGAATCTGCCTATTTAAGGGCGACGAAGTCGCCACCTGCTGCCATGCCAGGGTATGGCAGTACGGCAAGTTGATTCATCTTTATCTGGAATCCATCTATATGTGGATTACGTGTTATCCGCTTCATACTTGTTGTTTGGTGTTGATGTAACTCGTTGACCCCGTGTCCCTACTGGTCATCTGTTAAAAAAAAGCTTCATAGCTCATCGGAGTCCTCATCCAGGATAAAGATTCTGATGCTCGTGGGTTTTCTCCATGTACTCCAGTTTACTGCTACAATGCATGAACGCATTTTTGCTTAATGAGGCGATTTTCAGCAACGCATCCACCGCGCTAAACGATGACTTATTGCACTCTATTAAGGGTTAATGTCACATACGGATATCTTTCTTCATCGTGCATCAGCAGTAGAGTTGAGTGACAAAGATGATGCATTAATGAACTCAGAAATGCACGTTGTGTGGCGTGTACAGCATATCACGTACTCGACTCGCTCCTCATTTTCAGGAATGCCTCTTGCTTTTCACGATGTTTACGCAGAATCTCTTGGAGTCGCAGCTTCTTTTTCTTCTTGCTATTGAGGCGTCTTATGATTAAGCGAGCTCGTTCTGATGCGAGGGGTATCGAATAGACTTCTGAGAGCTCGGATTGCGTGATGAGACCCTGGACGAGCAACTCGCGATGTAGCATTGCAGGGATGCTACCGATCAACTCTCGTACCACCGAAGGCTCCTCCGTCCCCGTTCTGAGCAATGCATCTTCGCTGTAATCCTTCTCTGCATTGGTGTTGTTTGTGCGATGAACTCCACGGTTTGCAAAGTGATCACAAATCTGAATGTCTTCTCTGCTGTCATCCACAGTCAGGTTCTTGAATGATTGAGCTGTAAAAATATTTGTAAGAATAAACAAAACAAATTTGAGTTCTAACATTGCAATTGTTGAATGCCTTCACGATTATTATTATCATCATCATACGTTATTTTTCAGTCATTCCTGGGAGGTGTGTGCGTTCTGCAGAAACAGAGCTCGGAAATACCCTCGCTCCCAGCTCCACGCTCTACTGCTATGACCTCGCGTCTAGACTCCCTCACATTCACTACCCCCGCCACACGCAGACATAGCAGGTGAAGTTGGGCCAAAAACCTCCACGACCAACCCATAGGAAGTGGGTGGGCACTCAGCCAGCAGTGGATTTACAAAGGGGATGGTCACGTGCTCTCCTGCTGTGGCTACATCGCCTGCATGCACACTCGGTGGCGATGATTCTGAATCGTTTTTCCCTACTGGGTATGAATACACTCCAAGTCAGTGTCAAGGATTCCCTATGCGTGACACGCCCGTTGACTCACCTTCGTAAATCGCGACTGAGCCCGACTTCACCTGCATAGCCGGACAGAGCGGCTCACTTGGAATGTTGTCAAATGAGTGCAACAGCTTCATGGTGTTGGCGTTGTAAAACGAAAGCTTTCTTTCGTTAAAGTCCAAGCGAACGCCGACTTTCTCCAAATGCGTAATCTCTGGATAAGGAATGCATTGGTCGCCATGTCTTGCAGAGTAATTTGAATCCCATTGAACGAACGCCCAAGAAGACTCATTCCAGCCCAGCCTGCCAGACTTTTCTTGATATTTCCGATGAATCCACCCACATGCAACGCCTATGCCACAGTTTTCCGAGGCTCTCACGTCCACTTCCCAGTAGTTGTCACCCGACGAGAAGTTCTCGAAGCAGAGGACTATTGGCCACGACTCAAACCTTTCTGCGTGATCAGAGTAAAGCTGAGCTGCCTGGTTCCACGTCACTGTGCTGAGATCGGCAGAAATTTCAAGATGTCGATGTGCCGAGTTGGGGTTCAGAGTGGGCGAGCACACATCTGCAAGATAAACAAATGATCGTGTAAATCTTTACAATCACGACTCAGTTTTTTGCTCGTTATCGTCAGCCATGATTAAGTGGTCGCCATGAGAGGCAAAGGTGCACCTGGACATGTCTTGCCCATGCCACTGCTGATGGACGTATCTCGACTAGAAGCAGCTTCAGAGCCCCTTCTTGAGGGTATTTTGCCCTCCCTTCCAAGCTGGTTACAGGTGCCACAGTGGCTAGGAGATGTTAACTACCTTGCCTGGTATGCATGAGGTCGCGTGTTCAATGCTGACCCTGACTCCTATTTTATATTTGGAGTCTGTGTGTGTCTCTATCTCTCCGTGTTTTTTTCTCCACATTTAGAATTAATATTACGCGTTTAGAGCATTAGATCGCTATACATTTCCACGTGATGATGATATCAGCTACTTGGTTGATCCATCATTTGTGATGGCCAGGTCGCTTCTGAAAAAGAGCTTCTACATAGCAGCTCAGTGGGGCCTTACTCGGTAAAATGTAATAGTTTAGTTTAAAAAAAAATGTTTGGTTAGTTTACTCTACTACCGGTGACCACTCATTGTGCTGTAGCCAGCGGTATTGCCTCGTCGTGTACCAAACCTTTAAAACGTGGCAGCATCAGAGCACGTGGTGCCGTGCCGTGTTGCTCGAACATTGATTATCGAGGCTCCATGGAATGCAAGCGGACAATTGAGGATACTACACTTTTTTATAAATGCACTCAAACTATTGCTTTTCCCGAAGCTACATCGAATTGTGGATGTATGTTAATATATGCATGGAACTACCACCGGCGATTAAATCAGCTTGCGAGTGCTAAGTGGATCATTGCATAGAAGGGTCGTGGGAGGTATTAGAGGCTTGGGGAGGCTTGCGGAGGCCTTCATCCAGCAGTGGATTGACCTTGGCTGATGATGATGTAAAGGGGATGAGTGATATGTTTCCAGTGTCCACTGACATCGGCCTAAATTAGTCGCAACTTTTTTTGGCCACTCCACCACTGCCCTGCCTGTGAAGAATTTCCCGCTTGAGTGAGATGCTGGGACTGTGGGACTGCGATACTGGGACTTAGTGGACTCATTTATTTGTTGACGTGACTTTTTTTGTCGTTCTTGTTTGTGTCTCTTTAGTTTTGGTCACATTTATGTATTGGATTATTATTATTTAACTTTCTGAGTGTGTTAATATTCTTGGTAATTGTTATGTATGTAGTGCTGAACTTCATGCGACAGCTTCTTACTTTTCCTTCGTCACTTTATTTCACTAACATAATTTAACATTGCCCACATGCTCTCCGCTCGCTCGCCGCATTCCGCCGGCCTCGCTCGCTCCGCGTCTCCGTCTCCCTCGACTCTCCTCTCCACTTCCCCCGTCACAGTTCAGCTGCCCTCCCGCGGCTTCTCCATCTCTCTCCACCGTTTCTCTATCGGCTTCTCCGTCACACTCCAGCCGCTTTCTGCTGGCTTCGCCGTCACACTCTACGCTACTCTGCGCGTCTCCCGTTCTGCTGCTACCTTGTACTTCTCCACTGCTACCTCTATACTTCTCCACTTCTACCCTATACTCTCCACTGCTTCAGCTCCAACCGTCTTCTTCTCTTCTTCGGCGCGAACTCCCGTCCGCTTTATTAACTTCCAATTAACTTAATCGGCGTCCCTTCGACGCCCCCCGCTCCTAGCCCCCCTCCACCATCTGTTGTTATTCCAGACATCGTGGCGCCAGGCCCCGACAACAACAACCATCAACCAATCACCGTCTTGCATCCTTAATTACCCTCAACCCGTCTCTGGCCTACCGTTCCGAGCCTTGACAACAACACCCATCCTCACAGGCCCCCACTGTACTGCGCACGCACGTGTGTGCAATCTCCCGCGCGTGGCGCGTATTTAAACCACTACATATATAATAGGATATGTACAGCGCTGTGGGACATAATTAGTATGAATGTCGCGATATTAAATCTTATTATTATTACAAAGTGCTCTGGCCTGAAAAAAGTGAAAAAAGGATACGTGTAACGGATCGCAACGCTGACGAGTGTGTAAAGTCTACGCACGGCTCGTCTTCAGCATGTCCAGGAAATGCCGTTCCCTGCTCCGCTGTTCTTCGAGTATCTCCAGCAGCTTTTTGCGTTTGCCGTCCCCTCGTCTCATGATGGACAACAGGATTGAGTCCGCACGCATGGCGGTGTCGGGGGTTGTAAATGCCCTCCAGTACTCCTCTCCTGTAACCACATTCCTCCTCTTCAGCTCGTGCAGGAAAAGGGAGGGAGTTTTGCCGATCCACTCTCGCAACTCTGGCAACTCCCTCTCGACGTCCTTCCAGTTGCCGTCTTGATCTTCCGTGATCATTTCACCGATGAAATCCTCTGCGCTCTATTAGAGTAAAGGCACGGCAAGTGAATGAGCAGCAATCGACAGATCATCATCAGCACGCACAACACGACTGACCAATTTGGGAGCCATCCCTCGACCGCACCCGATCATCGATCAGCCTCCCATTTTACCATTACCAGATGAGAATTCCTATGGTACAGCCATGGAATGCCCAGGTACGGAAAACCTCTCCACTCTCTCCATAACTGATCTCCCCCTAGAATTTTGATTACTTCCTCACACTCCCCTCATATATATTTATATTAACGCTACCACTCTACAGCACCGTTAGAAAACAACTTCAAGGGTGGACACCGAGAATTGCTTCCCCGCACCAAGACAACACTTCAAGCACCTAAAGTCCACCTCTTTTCCCCCACAGCCTTTCTGTCCCCCCCCTAGGTTCCTCCAGAAAACCATGGACTCATTGTGTCGGGGCTTGCGCACTTAACGCAATAATGAAAAACACAACAACAAGAGAGTATGATAGACTTAGTAACATGGAATGACTTACGTTCACTTCATCATGACTGGAGACATTCCTGCGCAGTGAATTATATCTCAACAGCTGCAAGCATAGGAAAGGGGGGGGGGGGCAGTACATGATAACAAGCAAAAAATCTAAACTTTTCATTCGCAATCAAGGCGCTTCATAATGAACATGCATTCTACATGTAGTAGTAACCCCGTCTTGCTCGTCTGGCAATATCACGTGAGCATTGATTCTGATCACAGCCGGTCGCCCGACTTCTCACTCGATTTAAATACTCAATGGCTGCCCTGGCCGCCCCTATCAACACCATCAACTTGCATACTCTTTGGTTCTTTCGGTAAAGTCACGTAGGTATAAAATTAAATAAATCACATTTCGGGCGCAACACAAGCGTCCATCATCAGGTGAGAAAGCATGGTCTGCTGCTGAGGCAGACTGTTTTTTCAGCAGCAGAACATGCATTCCCACCTGATGATGGACACTTGTGTTGCGTCCGAAACGTCGTGATTTATTTGATTTTATACCTACGTGACTTTACTGAAATAACCATAGAGTATGGATTCCTGCATTCACAAAAGCTTGAAATCAACATTAACTTTAATCAATAACGTAGCAAAAGATACAGCCACCTCTCTCTCTCTCGCTGTCCACCTCCTCCATTCTCGAGCCTTGTAACCCTAATTTTCCTCCTTGCTCATCTGTCTTGTCCACGCTCACCCAACACCCAGCCCCTCCACCATTCTCGGTCATTGCACGTGACATATGATCCTTATGGCGGTCCCGAATATACGGAAGTCAAAATCATAATAAATTAATTTCTTTTTGGCGACTCCATCCCACCACACACATGAATGCCGCGACCCACCAGAAATCAATCTTCTCGTTTTTTGCCAAGCACCCGTCTTTGCCAAAATTGTCGTAGTCATAAACAAAACTTTCTAAACTTGATTGGCGCATAGTGGAGAGCTCGTCGAGAAGAATAAATTGCCGTATCGCTCACCTTCAACAGACATACAATGACGTCGCAACGCAGTTTATGCGAAAGTCAGGGGCTTATGGGACCCTGGGGTTCCGCCATAAGGTTCATATGTACATTATTTTTAAGGATACGTTATTTGTTCCAAACGTTTTGGTAAACACATAGGCTTTCACGATCAATATCATTCATAATATACGTTTTTGGCGAGAGATCTTCTGTGGTACGAGGTTATATAGGACTTGGCAGTAGGGGGGGAGAGAGAAGTGGGGGGGGGGAAGGAGGCGGGGCAGAAAGTGGACCCCTCGGCAGCACCCGGGTCACTGGAGTAGAGATCAGAGAGAGATGCACAGAGAGAGAGAAAGACACACAGAGAGTCGGAAATAACAGCTGACATAGGCAGGTAGGGTGGAAACATCACAGTCAGTTAAGAATTGACTTGGATAATAACGTCCTTCCAATAATTGCTCAGTTTATGCCCATCTTCTCGGTTGAAGTTGTGTCTGTGTTGATGCTGCAGGGTCCCCTTTCTGCCCCGCCTCCTCCCCCCCTTTTCTCTTCCCCCCTACTGCCGAGTCCTATATAACCTCTTGCCACGGCAGATCTCTCGCCTACTTCAGCAGTTTTTTCTTGCTGTGGTTGTCCCACCTGATGACGATTGCTTGTGTTGCGATCGAAACGTCGTGATCTATTTTTCTACCTACGTGACTTTACCGAAAGAACCAAAGAGTATGGATTCCTGTAGTTACGAAAACTTCAAATCAAGATAGAAGTTTTTGGTTGGATCGCATAAATATATAAATGCATCGTCAAAACCCGCCACCACCCGACACAGCCAACTAGTAAGGGTTGTCACGTAAACAGAACATGCCAACTCGTCACTAGTACAGCACACCGGTGTGTTGGAGATCCAAGCCACAACATTTACCATTTGAGTACTACGTTCCGACAGTAATTACAGCTAGCTTCATCAGGCGACAGCCAGATTTGTGTACAAGTCTTACTGTTTTTGGCCAGATTTGGCCAGATTTGGCTGACGCCTGATGAAGCAAGTTGTAATTACTGGTGAAATGTCATACTCAGATTATAAATGTCATGGCTTGGCTCTCCAACACACCGGTGTGCTGTACTAGGGACGAGTTGGCATGTTCTGTTTACGTGACAACCCTTACTAGTTGTCTGTGTCGGGTGGTCTAACCCAAAAACCTCTATTATGGTTTTGGGAAACGTTGATCTTACATTGCTGCTGTGTGTTGTAGCTACCACATGGCAGGCTGTTTTTTTATTATCAAATTCAAGAACCACTGGTAAAATGCACACAGCAATCAGCTGCCAATTGCGCATCTTGAGTTGGAAATCGTGGCATAGCTCCATCATCACTGAACACACCATGACGGGAAAGATGCTCGCGTGAAGATATGCCGAGTGCTTTTATTATAAACGAAAATACAACCGTACGTTTTTGCTCAACCTTTTTTTAAAGGATATTCACGGTAGGATCAACAAAGGCTAATTGCCTTTTAAAAGTAGGCAATGATAATGCATTCCAGTTGTAATGAGTCCACAAGACGAAGATTAAGACGATACAGCTCCTCTTTGTTTTCCGCACGAGTTCATGCCACGTGCAGACCACTCGCCTCCAAACTCCGACAGGAAGCCGCACCGGATCGCCGCGCCTCATCCGGTGACATCACCGCTCTCCTCGTGGGCGTTCCCTCTCTCTCACGCCCCGCCTTCTCTTTCCCTTTGTCCGTGACGTCTTCATCAGCAACCTGGGTTCCCGGGGGAGTTTCCACCCCCAGATCACGTGGGTAATAACACTGCACATTTATGAAGTGGCGCATTTATTCCGTTGATCCCAATGCACCACCGTACAAGGAAAACGGAAACATACAGAACGTGCAGGGCAGATGGCCAGAACTTGGTGGGTAAATGCTGATTTACCCAATCAGCCACTCAACCACAAACCCTCTCACTCATCCACTCACTTGCTGATCCACTCCCTCACCCAGTCACTCACTCACTCACCCAGTCACTCAACCATACACCCACTCACCCATTCACTCGCTGACCCACTCACTCACCCACACACACACACTTACTCATTCACTCACTCACTCACTTAGTCATTCACCCACCCACCCACTCACCCACCCACCCACTCACCCGCTCACTAGGCCTGATAACCCCAGAATCAGAGCCTTGACCACGGAGTCCTTAGAAAGAAGGAGATCCGAAGATCTGAGGGACCTCGTTGGAGAGTCAACAGAGACCGGTTGCTGCAGATTATAATTGTAGTGCCATAGGGGGGGGGGGGGCACTCTGCCAGCCCAAGAGGGGAGGGGTTGCTGGGGGCTCTGGGATCCTAGACAGATAAGCCCTCGGCGCCAGGCGCTAGGATCCCAGGCAACCCAGACAGTTAAGCCCCTTGGCGCCACCAACGGGGGGGGGGGGGGGGGGGGCTGTGTGTGCTCTGTGGGATATCTGGGGGCGCACACAACCCTACCCCTCGTTGGGGACGAGGCATAAAAGGGCAGCTCACTGGCCGATCGGGGCCAGTCGCAGCTCAAGACCGAAGACTCGCTAGCCAGCCAGCTTAGGACCCTGGACCCCCTCGTCCCGCTTGTCCTTGTAAGGGCCGGGACGCTGTGAGGGCCATTGGTGGGACTCTGGGACTCCCGGCTCTACATCCTTGTAAGGGCGAGTTCCGAGGAAGCCAGAGTCCAGACCCGCACCTTGGCTGGGTCGGGTCAGGTAGCCTCCCCTAGGGTAATTGTAGCCGGAGGACCCCAGAGCATAGCCAGAGTAGTGTATCCAGGCTGTGTACCTAGGCTGTGTACCTAGGCTGTAACAGAGTATCAGGACTGTTGGAGAGTTGTATTGTAATAAATAAGTTACCTCTACAAGTGTCTCCGGAACCCATTACATAATTACGAGTGCTGCCACGCCTATTGCTTCACTTACCTACGCTGACAATCGCTATACAGGATGGGCAAATGACCCTGGTGACTCACGCGATCTGCTCATTCAGAAGCGACACCAATAACAGGAGTGTGTTTTGGTCAGGTTACATAGACTTGGCGAGGTGGAATGACTTACATTTAAATGCTCTTCAAGATTATCAAAAGATATGTTCTGGCTTCTACCACGACTTCTTTCTATATAAGAGAGAAAGATACATTATAGAGCATTGGCATATATATATGCTTGAGGATTATACATTACATCATTGAGACCTGTCGTGATGGGGTTATGTTGATAACGATGATTATCATATTATTCTCTTCTTCCTATGGCTTAAAAGGTTAATGTGAAGTGTAATATCACACCAACTCAAGGAGGTTTACTATTCTTGAAAATCGCCAGATGATGCTGGTTGATGTAATTACCACTATACACTACACAATACACTACACTATACACCACACTACATAGTACACCGTGATGATGTTGGTTGATGTAATTACCAGCCAAACGGCACGGTACTCAAATCGTAAATGTTGTGGATTTACTCTCCAACACACCGGTGGGCTAAAGTAGTATACTACACTATTCAATGCATTATACTATATACTACTATACACCACACTACATACTACACCTTGATGATGATGAGAAAGAGACATGCAAACTCTAAATCTACAGCAGCAAGCAGGTATCTATTATCAGGGTCTGGCATCAAAACCACATCATCCTACATACCAAGCGAGGTAGTCAACATCCTCCTAGCCACCGCGACTTACCCCAGGGGAAGTGTCCACGGCGTATTTTGTAGAGAAGGAGGCCCACGCTCGCCACAAGTAAAATGACGAGCAGGACAGCACCGATGAAAGCACCGACGATAGCTCCAACAAAGTCTGAGGATCGTACACATATAGTAGTGTATAGTGTCATTTACTCTCTCGAGAAACGGTGCCTTAGCGCGGCGAGAGAGTTTGTGTACGTCTGAGAAGCTGATCGCTATACCGTCGAGAGCCTAGTGCTCTCAGAAGGGTCACCCAAGGCGGGAAGACTTCAGTGGAGACGTCAGACAAAACCCGTTTCGAAAGGTCCCCACATGACCTTTTCAAATAAATGGTGATCCAAGAAAGCAACGGGAAACTACTTGGATTATTTCTCCCTTGAAAACTTCAATGATGACAAGCAAAATCAACAAAGGCCCTGAGTATCGGCGTCCTTTAAATAGGACAGGGGTGCTAAGAATCTCCGAGCTTGTGTCAAAGAACCCTTTCAAAGTAGCAACTTGGAACGTTAGAAGTTTACTTCAAGCAGGAAAACTAGCCAATGTCATACAAGAAATGGATCGACTTAAAATCAACATAATCGGTCTAAGCGAAACTAAATGGCCTGGAACAAAAAAGTTTATATCGAGCGAACACCACATCTTCTGCTCCGGAGGAGAAGAAAACACCAAACAAACATACGGTGTCGCCTTTATAGTACACAAGAAATTAGCGAATAAAGTCAACAACTTTACCCCAGTATCAGAACGAATAGCACTACTACAATTAGCAGGCAACAAAGTCAACGTGAACATTCTACAGGTTTATGCTCCAACAGCAGATAAACAAGATCATGAAATCGAATCGTTCTATGAGCAACTAACCAACACGCTGAAGCCGCTGAAGAAGCAAGACATCACTATAATCCTCGGCGATTTCAATGCCAAGGTTGGCCACGGTCGAATGCAGAACATTGTCGGAGAACACGGACTAGGAACAAGGAATGAACGAGGCGACAGACTGGTTCAATTCTGCCAAGAAGAACGTTTCAGTATTGCTAACACGTGGTTCCAATTACCACCTCGACGACTGTACACGTGGACCTCGCCGCAAGACTCCGACAACAACATCGTCAGGAACCAAATCGATTATATCCTAATTAACATCAGGTTTAAGTCCAGTGTGATTACAGCAAAAACCTACCCTGGAGCCGATATATCGTCAGATCATAACCCAGTAACAGCTACAATAAGACTCAAATTGCGATCAATACAATGTACAAAGACGAGACGAGCAGACCTGGAGAAACTGAAGAACAGCGCCGATAAAAGACAAGTACAGCAACATCTCAACGATAGCATCCGCTCAATAACAACAGAAACAGCAGATGTTCAGGAGTACTGGCGCTCGTTCAAACAATGCATCACAGAAACAACAGAAGTCATGCTGGGACATCAGCCACCGAAAAAGAAACAACGATGGATGACATATTGTATTCTCGATCTAATGAGCCAACGAAGAATATACAAAAACAACAACTTGGAGAAGTACAAACAAATGCAACAGAAGATCAGAGAAGCAATCCGACAGGCAAAAGAAAAGTGGATGGAAGAACAATGCGCCGAGATGGAAGAACTAATTAAAAAACATGACAATTTTACTCTGCACAAGAAGCTCAAAGAAGCTGGTAACATCTACAGACCAGCCCCAACAGCTACCTTGTATGCGGACAACAACCAACCAATCCTAAATAAACAAGAAAAAATGGACACCTGGACAAACTATATACACAAGCTCTATGGCGCCACGAGAACACCTGCAGAAAAAGACCAACATATGTCGAAAGACGCTCTACACATTTTAACATCAGAAGTAGAACATGCAATCAAAACAGCTAAGTCAGGCAAAGCGTGCGGGCCCGACACAATCCATGTAGAATTGCTCAAACTATTAGACAGTAACAACATACGACAACTGACTAATTGGTACAATCAAATATACATTGGCAATAAAATTCCATCCGACTGGCTACAATCCATTTTTGTGGCCATACCAAAGAAAGCAACAAGCCGGAAATGCGAGGACTACAGACTGATAAGCTTGATGAGCCACGTGCTGAAAGTCTTCCTGAAGGTGATCCAACAGCGCATACGCTCCACATGCGAAAATGCATTGAAGAACACACAGTTTGGCTTCTGCAAAGGACTAGGCACAAGAGAAGCAATCTTCTGTCTACAGATACTACTACAGCGATGCTACGAACATCAGAAAGAAGTGTACATCTGCTTCATAGATTACGAGAAAGCCTTTGACTCAGTCGACCACGACCGACTAGCAGCTCTATTAAAACAACTGGGACTAGATAAAAACGACATCAACTTCATCATTGCTCTTTATTGGAAGCAAACAGCCCAACTCCGATATGACAACGAATTGACAAACCCAACACCAATACAAAAAGGTGTACGACAAGGCTGCCCACTTTCACCCAGTCTTTTCAACATCTACTCGGAGCAGATTTTTGATCGAACACTAGCAGATAAAAACATTGGTATTAAAGTCAATGGACAATACATCAACAACATCAGGTATGCCGACGACACTGCACTGCTGGCCGATTCGGAACAAGACCTACAACAAATCTTGGACGAGGTTGCCACAGAGAGTCAAATATGGGGCTTACGAATTAATAAAAAGAAAACAAAGGTTATGAAGGTCAGCCGAACTACAAGCAAAATAACAATCAAGCTTGGCAGCGAAAAATTGGAACAAGTACACCGATTTAAATACCTTGGTGTAATCATTGACGATCAGTTGAACCATGAAGTCGAAATCAAGAGCAGAATTGAACAAGCAAGGCAAGCATTTATTAAATGGAAAACACTCCTTGCAGACCGCAACTTGAGTACATCACTGAAACTGCGCACACTGAAATGCTACATCTGGTCAATTTTGCTGTACGGAGTAGAGACGTGGACATTGACAACAACAGCAACAAAAAGGCTCGAAGCTTTCGAGATGTGGCTGTATCGAAGGATGCTGAAAATCCCATGGACAGCCAAAACCACCAATACACAAGTTCTGCAAGATATGGGCACTGACAGGCAACTGCTGAAGACCATCATTAGCAGGAAGTGTTACTACCTAGGCCACATTGCCCGAAACGACCACAAATACCAGCTATTAAAGCAAATCCTGGAAGGAAAAATCGAAGGGAAAAAACGACCAGGACGGCCAAAAACGACATGGCTCAGTAACATCAAAACATGGCTACAATTAACAACAGCACAAACTCTACACGCCGTGCTAGACCGGGACCAATATCATCGTGAAGTCGCACACGCCGTTAGGCAGCACTAAAGAAGAAGAAGTGTCATTTATAGTCGTGTCGTGTATAGTGTAGTATATGTGCAATGTGTGTGTAGTGTATAGTAGTGTAGTGAATAATAGTGTAGTGTGCAGTGTAGTGTAGTGTATGGTAGTGTATATTGTATAGTAATGCAGAGTAAGTGCATAGTAGTATAGTGTCTAGTAGTATAGTGTCTAGCAGTGTCGTGTAGTTGTATAGTGTAGTGTAATAAATACATAGGATTTGATTCAACAAAGTCAGTTGTAACTTAACATGCTCTGTGCTTAATTTGTGTGTTTCGATGATTCGCCTAAAAAAAAATCTGTCCAACCCCAGGCTAAGAACCACCACTGGTGCAGTGAATTGTCATGGTGCGATTGTTATCAGTATCTCTCTTGCGTAGCAACGAGGTCACGGAAGCCTTCAACACCTCATGTGGCCCCAAGAGTGCACCTAACCTGGCACAGGCGCCGTGGGGACATCACCGCCACTTAGCCATGAGCGGCTGCTGTTGTTGGTAGATCGCGAGAAACGGCAACGAATTGGGTGTAAGGGTTGGCCTTCACACACAGCACTTGCAACACGAAGGTTATTTGTTGTGTCCTGCTCTAAAACCGACATAGGCAATCGAGGATCAACTCTACAATTTGCTGAAAAGGTTTTACCCTTTCTAGCAATAAAACTGGGGTTATGTTAAGATGTTAAAACACCAAACAAAAACATTTTGCAAGGAATCAAGTTACTTTATTCACCGCATGTACTTGTGGCGAGCATGTAACCAAAAACATGCTTTGGTAATATACTCATTGTCTTTAAAACTGCTCGGTCCAGTTTTAAAGACAATGCTCCTCCTGTTTTACTGCCAAAGATAAAACCTCTTCTCAGATTTTGAAACTGACAAGGGAGGTCCCATGATGCTACAAATCGCATTGGCAAATGTGATTTGTAACTTTGATGGCCACACGTGCATGACCCATAGTTACATTCGAAAGTGTTATTTTATCGAGGGTACTGTTGATGTCTTGGTGTGGTCTGGGACTGTTGTTGATGTCTTGGTGTGATCTGAGACTGTCCTCTGGTCTGCACCCCTATCGTGTGTTTGTGTGCTCGTTCCTGTAACTCGCTCACTGCGTGCGCCTCACCGGGACGTCTGAGAACAAAGAACTTCATAGCTCATCAGATCCCTCCTCCTCCTGCAAGCCTCTACACTACTAAACACTACACAATATACATGATATACTACACCATGTACTACTATACACTACACTGTACACTACACTACATATTACACTACTATACACTACACTATACACTACTATACACTACACTATACACTACTATACACTACACTCCGAAACACTACACTACCATACACTACACTACTATACACTACACTATACACTATTACTATGCACTACACCACTATACACTACAATATACACTACACTCCAATACACTACTATATACTACACTATACACTATCCTGATTTGAAGCTTTCGTGACTGCATCCATACTCTTTGGTTCTTTTGGTAAAGTCACATGGGTAGAAAATTAATAGATCACGACGTTTCCATCGCAACACAAGCGACGTCTTCAGGTGAAAAAAATATCTTATCCCTGTCAATTCTTTATTATTGTTTTTAAATGTCCAAGGCTGGCAAGGCATACAAAGCCGTACCGAACACGTTTTTTAAATTTCATTTTAGGTATAATTCTACATATATATAAAGTACGGAAGCAAAATATAAAATTAGGTTTTCCCCTTGTTTTCTGGCAACAAAACAGCTGTGTTACGATGTTAAAACACCAAACTGAAACCTTTCACGATAAATCATGTCTGTATTAACTACAATACTTGTTTGTAGTTAATACAGACATGATTTATCGTATTGTGGTTAATGCAGACATGATTCCTTGTCAAAGGTTTAAGTTTGGTCTTGATTTGAAGCTTTCGTGACTACAGGAATCCATACTCGTTGGTTCTTTTGGTAAAGTCACGTAGGTAGAAAATTAATAGATCACGACGTTTCGATCGCAACACAAGCGACCATCTTCAGGTAAGAGCTCCTCTCGCTTGTGTTGTGATCGAAACGTCGTCATCTATGAATTTTCTATCTACGTGACTTTACCGAAAGAACCAAAGAGTATACACTACCCTATATACTAAACTATAAAATACACTATAAACGAAACTATACACTAAAATTCTCATCACGGCCGTCATTCACCTTTCCCGCGCAGCTCTCCCAATCCCCGTGTGTGTCCTCCTTACCCTCCCCGACCCGCCAGCGTCGATTGTGAGCGCGTTAGAGCTGCGTGGGTGCGCGAGCGGTCGTCCGAACCTGCGTCTCTCTTCGCTTCCGTGCAGGGGTCTGATGGGGAAGTCCTCCGGAAGCCGTCTTTACAGCGACAGCGAGTATCCTCCATGGTGGTGCATCCGCTCACAGTTTTCTCGACTGCGGAACAACACAACCACCACCGCCGCATGTGGGTAATACTTTGGTGAACATCTGAGCATACAGCGCAGCATCACGCGGTAACGCGGAGCGACACGCGGTGACACTTTATTGAAGCGCGGTCATGCGGCACGGTGACGAATGATTGTAAATATGGAGAGAAAAACCGGAGGACACGGAGAAAAATCCACGTGACCACGGAGAGAGAGACGCAAACACCAAAAATACAACAGCAGGCATCGTCAGGGTCGTGATCGAACCCAGGACCTCCCGTGTACCAGGCGAGGTAGTTAACATCTCTCTCGCCGCAGTAGCGAGATTTGACTTTGTATTGTGAGTGGTGCGTGAATCACGCAAACCACTTGATTCCCCAAACCGGTCCCCTCTTTTTTGTGAACGGGTTCACGTCGTGTCCACAAACAACCACCCACCCCACTTACAATTCACGTTGCAAACGGTGCACTTCTTGCACTCGTTGGAGCTGTTCGGTTCGTCCGTGTAGTCTTCTCCTGGGTAGCATTCCGTGCAAAACGTGCCTCTCGTGTTGGATTCGCAATCCATCAACTTCCTGCTACCTGCAAGTTGGCAGCAGGGGTGGTGGGTAGGTGGGTGGGTAGGGGGAGGGAAACAGACTCACCGACTGAACTAGAATTCAAATCCAAAGGTTTTTTAAAAATCCTTTATATTAAGTTCACTTGCTTGCTTGCTTGCTTACGACCGTGCAAATCTTTCGGTCGTTTTTTTAACCCACTTCCCGTGATCCAATCGAGCTAACATTTTGCACACAGACTCGTTGTGCGTGACAATTAATTTTTGTGAAAAAAAATTCCCAAATTTTACACCGTTAAGGGAAATTTTTTTAAATATTTATTTACCAATTGCTTAATGGTGGCAGACAATCATCTGACCCATAGGTGGCAGCCATCTCAAGCCAGAGGACGAGAGGACTCTAGCCGCCCGTTTCATGATGACGCAAATGTTGACTAACCACATGGCATGAAATCCCTGCCCCCACGCTGTACAGTGGAGACTATTTATAGAGCAGTTAAATTGAAGCCGCCAGGTTCTTGAAAGTGGTAAAACGGGTCAACGCTAGTGCCCTCGGGAATATACGGGGCATGTCAAGAGGTGATCTTTCATTTTTAAATCCTTTATATTAAGTTCGCTTGCTTGCTTACTCAAGAAAAACAGAAATGAATAATAAAATGAAACCGATGCCACGCATATAAAGGATTTAAAGTGAAAAACTTTGTTTTTACGGGTTAACTTTTTTATCCTTCCCCGCCTTGCTGTGTTCCAGACTCGCTTAGGAACGGGTCTCAGGAACGAATTAGGTTCACAACCTGAGGACTGCCCGTCCACTACTATACACTGTACACTGTACTGTACACTACAGTACTAGTTTGAAAACTAATTTCTTTAGAGCTGCTGCTTGTTGTTGTTGTGTAGTTTGTTGTCTGCTTTGCCCATATTTTATATATTGTTTAGTTTGTTGTGCCAAGAAGAATGGATACATGTAGGTACAATGACCGAAGCAACAGACCACTTAAGTGTGAACGGACAGTCAGGAACTCCACCAAGTCCTCTGATCGGTGCAGGGAGGCCTCAAAGACGATAGGTCAGGAGGTGAGATTCAAAGGGGGTTGAAGGAGAGACTCGGAGGTAAAAGGGGGGTAATGAGGGTCGACTGTAGGGGGGCGATGGTTTACGGCCATTGGAGGAGGAGGACGCGGATTGGCTGAAGGGAGTGGGGTGAGCGAAGCTTCCCCAAAGGGGGCTCGGAGGATATAAAAGTGTAGTGTGTAGTGTATTGTAGTGTATTGTGTATAGTAGTGTTGTGTATAGTAGTTTAGGGTATAATAGTGTAGGGTATAGTAGTGGAGTGTATAGTAGTGGAGTGTATAATAGTGTATTGTAGTTGTTGCTGGAGGGTGACTGTCTCCAACTGCCCAGTAGTAGCGTGCTTCATGAGAAGCTACCAACCACCACCACCACCACAGCTCAAACGATTGGATTTATTCACTCATTTGAGTATTTTCCTTAAAAAATGTTTTTTATTTCCCAACCCCGTGCTCAATTTACGTAAAGTATTAACTTGAATCTGGTAACACTGAGCGATGAAATGCACTATTTAATAATCCAGACTGAAACGTAATTTCGTTTAGAACTGCCGCTTGTTTTTGTTGTTTATGTTGTTGTGTTCAGTGTTGTTGTCTTTCCTCCCACACCTATTAGCCACGATTGGCTACATACGGTGCGAAAAAGGGTTCAACATATACACTGCCCATAGACTAACACTACCCATATAGATTCAACACTGCCCATAGACTAACACTACCCATATAGATTCTACACTACCCATAGACGAACACTACCCATATAGATTCAACAATGCCCATAAACTAACACTACCCATATGGATTCAACACTGCCCATAGACTCAACACTACCCATATCGATTCGACATTGCCCATAGGCTACACTACCCATATGGATTCAACACTGCCCATAGACTCAACACTTCCCATATAGATTCAACACTGCCCATAGACGAACACTACCCATATAGATTCAACACTGCCCATAGACTAGACTACCATATGGATTCAACACTGCCAATAGACTCAACACTACCCATATAGATTCAACACTGCCCATAGACTCAACACTACCCATATCGATTCGACATTGCCCATAGGCTACACTACCCATATGGATTCAACACTGCCCATAGACTCAACACTTCCCATATAAATTCAACACTGCCCATAGACGAACACTACCCATATAGATTCAACACTGCCCATAGACTAGACTACCATATGGATTCAACACTACCAATAGACTCAACACTACCCATATAGATTCAACACTGCCCAGAGACTAACACTACCCATATCGATTCAACACTTCCCATAGACTCAACACTACCCATATAGATTCGACATTGCCCATAGACTACACAACCCATATCGATTCAACACTGCCCATAGACTCAAAAATGCACCTCCGATTAGCCACTGTTAGCTACGTGCAGTGCGATAGAAGTTCAACGAACCTACATTAAAACCTTTCGATTGTGGTATTTGAGTCAGGCCTTTCGGCTGTGCACATTACCTGCTTGGCAGAGCTCACAGCAGATGCCACTGCTTGACAAGTAGTGCGTTGTTTCGTTACATCCGCCTTTGATAACCTGCTTGAAAAAAACATTCAAGACGAGGAAAAGTTAACAATTCATAATATAGGTTTTTGGGTCAGATCGCGTTATTTATAAATGTGTCGTAACCCTCCACCACTCGACACGGCCAAACAGTAAAAAATGTGTCACGTTTTTCAAAGGACAAAATAATTCACTTCTTTAGCCCACCGGTGTGCTGTAGAGAGAATCAACAGCATTTTAAATTTGAGTACGACATTTCGCTGATAATTACAATCAGCTTCATCGGGCAAGAATGGTGAAGCTCTCCTGTTGCTTCCGGTCTTAAATAGAGCAGCATCAGGGTGACGTCATCATTTAATTCAATTCAATCTGGTGCAGTGATTCGAGGCAAAGATGGGGAGGGTATTGTAATTATATAGATTGGTAGACATTCAATTGTTATTCATTGGTATTTGTTTCCCTTATAAGGAATAGTAATTGTATTTATTTAATAATATGCTTCCAGGCCGCACTAAGCCTGTAGCTGTCAGAGCGATTGAATTTATTTCTGTTTATCTCAATTTCAATAGATTCTCTAATTAGTCTTGGCCAGTAATAATTAGTTTTACACAAAACTTCAACGTTATCAAAATCAATTGAGTGTCCTTGTTGACAAGCATGCTCTGCCACTGCCGACAGTTGTGTTTGAGATAATTTAATGTTTCTTTGGTGTTCTTTTAATCTTACGCTGATGTTACGTCCCCCGTCTGTCCAATATAGCATTTGCCACATAAACAATTAATCCGATATACACCTTCTGTTGATAATTTAGGCAAATCGTCATTAGTGCCAGATACCAGTTTTTGAATTTTGTGCACTGTACCAAATCTTACTTTAATGTTTTGCTTTTGCAATACCCGGGCTAATTTGTCAGTTACTCCTGATATGTATGGTATTTTGATTGTTTGAACAATCTTATCGCTTTCAGCAGTGTTGCTTTGCGTTCGTGATTTGGCCTTCAGTGCTCTGTTAATTTGAGCATTATTGTAGCCATTCTGTCTTAGTGCTTCTTTAACATGTTTCATCTCTCTCACTAGACTCTCACCATCTGACACTGTTTTAGCCCAATGTGGGCTAAAGAAGTGAATTATTTTGTCCTTTGAAAAACGTGACACATTTTTTACTGTTTGGCCGTGTCGGGTGGTGGAGGGTTATGACACATCTATAAATAACGCGATCTGACCCAAAAAAACTATATTATGAATAATATTGGTCGCGAAAACCTACGTGTTAAAAAGTTAACAACCAAAGTAATTTATGTTACCAGGTGTAACGAGGCCCCACTGAGCTGCTGTGTAGTGGCTCTTTTGTTCAGAAGCGACGCTGGCCATCACACAGCAGCAGCCCAATACTCTAAACGCATAGAGATGCTTAGAGACACATAGATGTGTGATCCATAGAGCCCTATGAAGATACATAGAGACGCACAGAGACACAGAGACCTATAGTGATACATATAGACCCACAGAGACACATAGAGATCCGTAGAGACACATAGAGATCCATAGAGACACAGAGATCCATAGAGACACACAGAGATCCATAGAGACCCATAAACTAAAATATTGTATGTACCAGGTGTAAGGCTCCACTGAGCTGTGAAGCTCTTTTTAAGAAGTGACCCTGACCCACCACAAATGATAGCAGCCCTACGAAGTGGCTGATTTCATCATCACTTAGGAATTTATATTAGCAAAGACTCTGAACGCGTGGTGATGTTGATTCTAAATGTGGGGGAGAAAAACCGGCGGACCCCGGAAAAAAATTCACGTGACCAAGGGGAGAGAGACGCAGATTTCAAATATACGTCAGCAGGCATCAGGGTCTGGGATCAAACCCATAACCTCCTGCATACCAGACGAGGTAGTTAACATCTCCTAACCACCGTGATGTCAAGGTCAGGATCGAACCCACGTCCTCCTGCATACCCGGCAAGGTAGTTAACATCTGCCTAGCCACCGTTATGTCAGAGTCGGGATCGAAACCACGAGCTTCTGCGTATCAGACGAGGTCGTTAACATCTCCTAGCCACCGTGGTGGTGATGATGAGAGAGAGATGCAGACTCCAAATACAGCAGCAGCAGGCATAGTCAGGATCGAGATCGAACCCACGTCCTCCTGCATACACAGCGAGGTAGTTAACATCTCCAAGCCACCGTGATGATGATGAGAGAGACACGCAGACTCCACATATACAGCAGCAGCAGGCATTGTCAGTATTGGGATTGAACCCACGCACTCCTGCATACCAGGTGAGGTAGTCAACATTTTTCTATCCACCACGGGGACACCCCAATGCTCAGCGTCCTCGCCCACCATGAATTTGTCCGCCAACAGTGGCCGCTTTGGGTGGGGACAAACCGCAGACTTCCCAGCCACACTGTGCATGCTCCACTTCACGTTATTCATTCTGCCATCATACCTGCCATCGAGTTACAGGACGAGGATCTGCAACCCGGGGGATGAGGGGTTCCCCTAGGTCGACCCAGCCTCAAGTGAGCTACACAATGTAGTAAAGCATCGCCACTGGGGGAGACAAAGGCGGCTGGGCACGCGTACTGCTGGCCACCCCCACCCCCTCTGTGTGTGTGCCACAGTGATGGTAGCCTCTGTAGGTGCTGCTACTCGCTAACAGCACTTGCCCCTGCGGTCTGCCAAGGCTACATGGGGGTCTTTGTCCTTGCGTGCGCATGTTCCCAATCTGGCCACCAAAGTTCGATTCCCGCACATGGCCAACACCAGCGACCGCGATTATCTGACCTGGTCCTGGGCCACCACTAGGTCGACTCAGCCTAACATGGGGACATCTTTGCTTTCGAAGGCTGTATATGTGTGTGTGTGCGTGTGTGTTTAATTGTGCGCTATAGCCGATTCCCCTTCAGGGCGTTTGTGACCACCACGCGGATAAATGGGGGCCTTGGACAGGTGCGAGGGGCTGGTAACCCCTCCACCTTCAATAAATTACCACTAAACGACGTGAAAATATCGAATTAATAAGCTTGTGCCGGAGGCTCCGGGCGGACAGGCGTCTATGACGTCTCCTGGCCAAACCCCATCTGGCGGAACCAGGAGATTGAATCTTTACCCTCGGGGCTCCTCCAGAAACAACAAAAAACCACTACGTGTGGCCACATGGAATGTTTGAATGCTCACTACGGAGGAGAGGCTGCCACTAATCTCTGTCGGGAGCTGGACCGGTACCGCCTGGATCTCTGTGGCATTCAGGAGGTCCGGCCTGATCGAGGGGGCTAAACGGGCGCGGCATGGGCTAGAGAAAAGACGGAGTGATGTAGTACAGGAGGATATGGAGCTGACTGGACTTGCCGATGACTGGTACCAGCGGTGTCAAGATCGGCCTCTGTGGAGGAGGCTTGTGAAGGACGCTACTGGGCAGTTGGAGGCAGTCGCCCTCCAACAACAGAGGGTGGAGGAGCAACGCTCACAACAACGAGTGGAGTGCCAGGTGACTAAAGCACAGCAAGTTAGCACAGTAGGGGGCACAGGCGGTGAATCTCGGTCATCTCAGTCAGTCGACCCATGGCACCTGGGTCTGCCCCATGACCTCCTGCCAGCGGGCGTTCGACACTTCACGTGGCCTAAAGGTGCACATGGCCTGGCACAAGCGTCGTGGTGACGTCACCGCCACTTAGTGGCGAATGGCGGTTGTTGCTATAGCTGAGCGCACAGGAACGACGCTCACAACAATGAGCGGAGCGCCGTGCAGATAAAATGCTGCGAGTTGTTACAGTAGGGGGTACAGCTGGTGGTGCATCTACCAGTCATCTCAGTCAGCCAACCCATGGCTTTGAGATGCTGGGGTGCAATTGACGAGCCCTACAATATTCCTGATGGCCACACGTTTTTGTTTGCACCTTACCTCTTGTAGCCCGTTGCTGATCGTCGCAATTTCAGAGAGAAGTATCTGCAGACAACAGGAAACGTGCGTCCATCAACACGTTCTCAAAATACGCCATTTAAACTAAAACTGCGTCTATTTCAAAAATAAAAAATGAGGACCAAAGGAATGCACAATGGTAAATAAGGAAGCGGTGAATCCATAGAGAGATCGATAGAGACCTATAGAGATACTTAGAGGCTCATAAACTAAACCAAAATATGTATTTAACCAGATGTAAGGCCCCCAACACTGAACTATGTTTGTTCAGAAGCCACCCCTGGCCACTGCACCCAACGATAGCAGATCAGCCAAGTGGCTAATATCGTCACCGCGTGGACATTCACAGCAGCAGCCGAATAATGTAGATGCATATAGACCTATAGAGACCTATGGGGATACATAGAGACCCACAGAGACACATAGAGACCAGAGGTCGCAAACGGGTTTTGATTCCTTACCCGTACCCGGCCGCACCAGGGTCGCAAATGGGTACCCGTACCTGGCCGGGTACGGATACCCGTTCCCTACCCGTACCCTACCCGAAATGAGTGACAAACGGCTACTCACCAGTGACTCACGGCCTACCCGTACCCGTACCCGGCCGCACCAGGGTCGCAAACGGCTACCTGTACCCGTACCCGGCCGGGTACGGGTAGCCGGGTATCGGGTAGGGTACGGGTATCGGGTACCCGGTTGCGACCTCTGATAGAGACCCACAAAAGAACATAGAGACCTACGGAGATACATCGAGACCCATACTAAAACTAAACTATGTTGTATTCCACCAGGTGCTGTGTAGTGGCTCTTATGTTCAGAAGCGACCCTGGCCATCACAAATGATAGCAGACCAACCAAGTGGGCTGATATAATCATCATCACCGCGTGTAAATTTACAGCAACAGTCAAATACTCTAACGCGTGGTGACATTGATTCTAAATGTGGAGGGGAAAACCGGTTGATGTGGAGACAAAATCCACACGACCACAGTGAGAGAGAGAGACAGCAGACTCTACATATGCAGCAACCCGGAAAGTGTGTTTTTTGCTTTAATTTTAAATTTTATTTATAATTTTATTTAAAATGTATTTTCTATCTACGTGACTTTACCGAAAGAATCAAAGAATATGAATTCCTGCAGTCACTAAAGTTTTAAGTCAAAATTTAACATGAAAAAAGTTATACACTTTTATATCTTGGACATGTTTATTTACAGGTCACACACTGCTTAAGCCCAAACAAATGTGTTGCACCGATTAATCCAAAATCCGCGTGCTCGCCACTACAGTACAATAGTTGCAATATATTTACACACAGGGGGGGCTGAGTTTGGTTGATGTTGACTGGCTGTGGCTCTAACATCCACTTAGTGGGGCTGCGTTTGATTGATGTTGATTGGCTGTGGCTCTGCTATCATCCAATTAGTGGGGTTGAGTTTGATTGATGTTGATTGGTTGTGGCTCTGCTATCATCGACGTAGTGGGCCGAATCTTCTGCTGGGTGGGTGCCAGGAAAGTGACATTATCACTGAGCACGCGATCATCCGTCGGTCGAACATTCTCAATCGAAAGAGTAACAATTAAAATCGCCATCAGTTGTGCATCATTGTGAGTGACTTATCCGATCATTTAATTGGTGAGTTTTCATTTTGAAAACTTTGCCGTGGCAGAGAAACTTATTTTTTTTGACAGACATCCGAGGAAAATTCGTGCGAAGAAAAGAGAGTAAAATAGACATCAATTCGTGGCGATTGATCAACACTAAATGCAAGTTTGGGGCAAGGCAACACAACAACGGTCCAGACCCCACCAAGACAACAACAACAGTCCAACACCACACCAAGACAACAAGAACAGTCCCAGACCACACAAAGACAACAACAACAGTCCCAGACCACACCAGACGTCATCTGGTTTGCGAAGTTCACTCACCATCGTCGCAAACAATTGAAGGGCGATGAAACACGACGGAAGATTCATTTTTTAGGTCCCTCCGCTCGTCCGCCGTCGGTGATTTTCCTTCCTCTGCGCTGCGGCTTCTTCACGAGCCTCCTCCACTCCGCGTGCGCTCGCTTAAGCGGCGCCGACTGAAGATAGAACTGAAAGAATGACGGAAATGGTTATCGATCAGCATCTTCGGAGACCTTGAAAACAGAATGCGAGGTGATGTGTAGTAAAACAAACACGCGAGAGAGAGCGCAGGGTATTTGCTAGGTATGGCAGTGTTGTAAAACCAGTCAAGCTGCATTCCAGGTCGTAGCCCCTTCAAGTTGGTGTGAGGCTTTGGCTACCCCCGCCTCTTACAACGTCGTTGGCGCAGCGTGGAAGAGGAGACCCAAAAATGCCCACTGGAGGGCCTCTCTCGATGCTCCCTCTCGTGCGTCCTGTTGTGATGAGATGTTGACTACCTCGCCTGGTACGCAGGAGGTCGTGGGTTCGATACGGACCCTGACAATGCCTGCTGCTGTATATGTGGAGTCTGTGTCTCTCTCCCCGTGATCGCGTGGGATTTTTTTATCGGGGTCCTCCGGCTTCTTTCTCCACATTAACAATCAACGTCACCACGCGTTCAGAGTCTTGGTCTGCGCTGTAAATATCCACAACGATGATGATGACGATGTCAGCCACTGCGTTGAGCTCCCATTCGTGGCCAGGTGGCTTTTGAAAAAGAGCTACTTAGCTCAGCGGGTTCTCACCTGGTAACATGATAGCTTAGTAAATAGTTTAGAGATTATTTATAGTCACCCGTCCCGGATTACTGGTTACCGGCGGTGTCATGAACTCCCACTGTGGAGGAGGCTCGTGAAGGATGCCACTGGACTGGGTAGTTCCAGGCTAGGTGCACATTGATGAAGCTACTGAAACACACACTGAGATACACAGACACACTCAGACACAAAGATACACAGAATCACTCAAACATATACACAGATACAACAACCGCCATTCGCCACTAAGTGGCGGTGACGTCACCACGACGCTTGTGCCAGGCCATGTGCACCTTGAGGCCACGTGAAGTGTCGAACGCCCGCTGGCAGTAGTTCACGGGGCAGACCCAGGTGCCTGACCGAGATGACCGAGATGACTGGCTGATGCACCACCTGTGCCCCCTACTGTGCCAACTTGCTGTGCTTTAGCCACCCGACGCTCCGCTCGTTGTTGTGAGCGTCACACCTCGGCCCTCCGTTGTTGTTGGAGGGCGAATTCCTCCAACTGCCCAGTAGCGTCCTTCACGAGCCTCCTCCACAGAGGCCGATCTTGACACCGCTGGTCATCGGCAAGTCCACTCAGCTCCACGTCCCCCTGTACCACATCACTCCATCTCTTCTCTAGCCCGTGCCGCACCCGTTTAGCCCCCCTCGATCCGGCCCATAGGCATGCGGTGACTGGGCATGCGGGCAACATGACACAGACACACACACAGATACACATACACAGACACACACAGATATACAGACACACACAGAAACACACGCAGATACACAGACACACACACACACGTAGGTGAAAAAACTATAACAATTATAATAAAAATAACAATACAAATTTTAAATAACTAAATTAAATCACGACGTTTCGGGCGCAACGCAAGCGCCCATCATAATACAGACACACACATCGATACACACATACAAAGACAGATACAAAGACATACAGACACACACACAGATACACACCGATATACAGACACACACAGACATACACAATACACCCAGAAACAACAACAACAACCGCAATTCGCCACTAAGTGGCGGCGACGTCACCACGACGCTTGTGCCAGGCCATGTGCACCTTGAAGCCACGTGAAGTATCGAACGCCCGCTGGCAGGAGGCCACGGGGCAGACCCAGCAGGAGCCACGGGTCGACTGAGATGACTGAGATGACTGGCTGATGCACACATACACACAGACACACACATACACACACAGATACACAGACACACACACATGGATGCACACATACACAGACAGACTCACACAGATACACAGACACACCCACAGAAACACACGCAGATATACACACAGACACACAGATACACAGACACATACAGAGACACACAGAACACACAGATACACACAGACACACACACAGACACATACACACAGACATACACACACATATACACAGACACACACACGGATACACACATACACAATCACACAGATACTCAGACACACACAGACACATACACAGATACACACAGACACGGACACAGACACACACAGACACACAGATCCGCGTCTCACCTGTGCCACTTGGATGACGACTCACCGTCTTCACCACGCTCAGCCTGGTCCAGACAGACACAGAGACAGACACAGCCTCAGACAGACACAGAGACAGCCTCGGTGAGTCTCTTAACAACCCCACCGAGGTCACAGAGCTCCTTGCTTCCGTTTGCGTGGGACTTAATACTTCCCTGTCCTTGAGTTTCGGTTTAACGATCGCTGCTGATTCGTATCGCTCTCGCCGCGAGCCTCTAGCGGCAGGCGGTGACACGGATTTCCTTTTTGAGAGACAGGATGTCGAGATGACCCGAATGTTAACTCCTTTGCCTGGTATACAGGAGGTCGTGTGTTCAATAACAGCCCATGGCGCGATGCCCGTTGTAGATGTGGAGTCTGTTTGTGTCTCTCTCATCATAATCTGGTCTACAGGCGAGGGTTCGATCCCGACCCTGTCGATACCTGCTTATGTATATTTTGATTCTGCATCTTTCTCTCTCTCTCATCATCATCACGGTAGTGAGATGTTAACTCCCTCGCTTGGTCTACAGGAGGTCGTGGGTTCGATTCCGGCCTGCTGTATATTTGGAGTATGCGTCTCTCTCTCTCGTCATCATGATGGTGGTTAGGAGATGTTGATTCCCTCTCCTTGTATACAGGAGGTCGTGGGTTCGATTATGAGCGATGCCTGCTGCTGTATATGCAGAGTCTGCGTTTTTATCTCTCCCCGTGATCACGTGGAATTTTTCTCCGAATCCTCCCGTTGTCCCCTCCACATTTACCATCAACGTCACCGCGCGTCCAGAGTCTTTATCTGCCGCTGCAAGTTTCCACAACGATGATGATGATAATGACGATGTCAGCCGCTGCGTTGAGCTCCCATTCGTGGCCAGGTGGCTCTTGAAAAATAGCTACTTAGCTCAGCGGGTTCTCACCTGGTAACATAATAATAGCTTAGTAAATAGTTTATAGATTAAATTTTCAATTAAAACTTTCGTGACTACAGGAATTCATATTCTTTGTTTCTTTCGATAAAGTCACGTAGATAGAAATTTGTTAAAATAAAAATAAAACCATGTAGACTGTATTTTTTAAATAGTTTTTTATTATTATTTTTCTATCTACGTGACTTTACCGAAAGAAGCAAATAATAATTTATAGATTGTTGATAGTCACCCGTCCCGGGTTACCGGTTACCAGCGGTGTCAAGCGCGCCCTCTGTGGAGGAGGCTCGTGTAGGATGCCACTGGGCAGCTAGGTGCACGTTGAAGAAGCTACTGGGGCAGTTGGAGGCAGTCGACCTCGAGCAACAACAGCGGAGGGCAGAGCAGCGACGCTCACAACAAGGAGCGGAGCACCGGGTGGCTAAAGCACAACAAGTTGGCACAGTAGGACCACAGGTGGTGCATCAGCCAGTCATCTCAGTCAGTCGACCCGTGGAATCTGGATCTGTCCCGTGACCTCATCCTAGCGGGCGTTGGACATTTCACGTGGCCTCAAGGTACACATAGCCTGGCACAAGCGTCGTGGTGACATCACCGCCACTTAGTAGCGAATGGCGGTTATTGTGTTTATCTGTCTGTGTCTTTGTATCTGTGTGTGTCTGTGTGTTTCTTTGTCTTTGTGTCTGTGTGTATCTTTGTCTTTGTGTCTGTCTGTATTTGTGTGTATCTTTGTGTCTGTGTGTGTAACTTTGTGTGTCTTAAATTTGTATGTCTGTGTGTGACTTTGCGTGTCATTGTGTGTGTGACTTTGTCTTTGTGTCTGTGTGTATCTGTGTGTGTGATTGCGTATGTGCAGCTGCTTGCTAACAGCACTTGCCCGCTACGAGTCTGTTTAAGGCTACACGTGGGAACTTTGTCGCGGCCATAACATGTGAAGTTAAGTTACCCATCACTTATGCTTTATTCTTTGTTGTTGTGAATCAACTCCACGCCTCCGTGTTTGTCCGTCTGTCTGTTTATCTGCCTGTCTCTCTGCCTGTTTGTTTGTCCGTGGAAAACATTCTGAAATCTCGACTCGTGCTTTGTAGAGTTGTGTTTGTTCTTGTCATTCTCAAGCACAACAGTGACACCGGTCATGGATTTGGGCAACTCCAGTTGGGGTGTCTCCATTCTCTTTCAAAAATATTTCAGACAAGTCGACTGGTTTATTGATTTTTTTTTATTAATTAAAGAAGATCAATGATAACCCTATTTAGCGTGTTTGTGTTCAGTATTCTTAGGTTTTATCGGTATTCATTTTAATTTTTTTTACCTACGTGACTTTACCGAAAAAACCTAGGAATGTATAATCCTTGCAGTCACGAAAGCTTCAAATCTAGAATTTGTGTTCAGTGTTGTTGTCCTGCCTCACGCACCTACCGATTAGCCACGGTTGACTACATACGGTGCCAAAAAAAAAGTTCAACGCACACAAGTAGTGTAATAGTGCCGGCAGGTGGACCTGAGCGACAACTGTGGTGGACAGACAGCACACACGCCGGTGAGGGCGTGCACGGTGCGTGTTGGCAGAGCAGAGGAACTCGGGCAAGGGTCACTTATGACCCCATATGGAGGCCCCTGGAACCTGCGAGCGGGTTCGAGAAGGGAGGCGCTGTCAGGGTGGAGCCAGGCCGCGGTTGCAGCATAAAAGGAGCCGAAAAACAAGGTGCTCAGGGTGCTGGTTCTGGGAGTGGACTCGTCTCGTCGTCGCTATCGTCTCATCGCCGTCGTCGCTGCCGTCTCCGCTAGATATTGCGCTACGAGATAGTCGTTGGCCATCTCAGTTAATTGAATTCCCATATATGGAGGAGTTGGCTGTGGCTGCGCTGGAACGAAATTAATCCATGACTGGAAGGGGAATTGCGGTGTCTCCTCTATCTGTTGACGGGCCCAAGGTAGGTGCTTCATTTTTATTGAAAGCAAAAAAAACATCGTGACATCACGGTAAAGTTTCTCAATGTCTGGGCAGCGTGGGTGATAGATTTTCATCGTGCCGGCAGTCCGGTGACACCGTCATACCGACGCCTGGGTACTCGGAGTCTCTTCATTGAAGACACAGAGCGACCTGCACTCGGCCAGTCACTTGGTTCTTCACTCCGCCGAGTTGCCCCTTTCCTCGAGCGTCCACCACTCCTCGTGCTCTACCCCCGGAGCTCCCTTTAAATAACTTTCCGTCGCCTCCCAGCTCGACTGCGTTTCCCGATTTTTATTTTCGATTCAAATCTTTCCGTTATGGTCAATTCCACCTCTGCCTTCCGGACCCATCATCGACGAAGCATATTTTCGCCAACCAGAGGCCCCTGGTCTAATTTTTGAAAGTCCACTCTGCTGCAAATTGGCCTGAGGTGAGTGCCTCTCAAGTTCGGTCGTTTGCAACTGGATGAGCTTAAGTGAGGTAACTCCTGGACCGTATTTTGGGGCTCGCCAGATTTGTGCCCAGCTCTGCCGAGCAAAGTCGTGCCGCACGAAACCCATTCCAGAGTTTTCTGGTTACCGGTCTGGTACCAAGCCCCCGCCCTTCTCCCTGGAACTGAGAGGCTACTGACAGTCTGCAGATGTCCCTGGGTGCTTTCTGCCAACCTAATGTGTGATGGGGAATCACTGAATAAAGTTCAATATCAGATCGGACACTCACAGTCAAAGTATGAGAAAATAAGAATAGGTTTACCCTTTCTGGCAATAAAACAGGTTTTAAGATGTTCAAACACCAAATAGAAACCTCTTGCAAGTAATCAGTGTCTGCATTAACCACACGCAGAACGTGTGAACATGCAAACAAAATCATGCTCTGATAATAAATGGTATTGTCTCTTGAGACTGATTGGTCTACACCAGACAGCAGACTTCTTTAGGGCCTAGTCTCACCAGTGTCAGGCCATTAATGCTAAAATACGAGCAGCATATTTGCATGTTTACTCTTATTACACTGTGTGTGGTCAATGCATTGACACGGTTGCTTGCAGAAGGTTTCTATTTGATGTTTTTACATCTTATCGCGAATGTTTTATTGCCATTAAGGGTTCAAACCTCTTCTTATTTTTTCATACTTTCATACTGGTGTAATAAAAGACTCCGTCAGGCACTGCTGGTCTCCGCTTGTCTTTTATTCAGGTTATTCTCCGCACCCACTGGTCTCCTCCTCGGACCAGCGTCGTCTCGCGCGCAACCCGCGCACGCTCCCTCTCGCGTGCCACGCACGCTCCTCCGTTAGCTCCTCTACTCCCGCACTACGCACACCGCTGGCCGACGGCGTGCTGAGGTCCTTCGGCCACGATGGCGCGGATCTCTCTCTCACCACCCAACGTGGCTCAGCCTCTTAACTTCCCCGACTGCCCCGATCTCTTCCGGCTCCCACTATATCCATTCCCCCCACGTGACCCTGACTCCTCCCCTCCCGGATCGTCAGATCCGGCCTTCCCATACTGCCCTGCTGGCTCCGCCCCCATTCACCTCGCCTCCCATTGGAGCCGAGGTGATCGGTGGCCCCTCCCACACGCCCCGCAGACCAGGCTCCGCCCCCCAATACCCCGGGCCGTGTGATTGGACCAGAGCCCAGCAACAACCCCATTTACGCTCGCATTACACTGGCAAAAAAAATATCCCGTGTTTTAGCTGCTCACTCACAGTCAAGTTTAAGATGATGTATGCCATGGGAATGCAATGAATTTGTTTTCACTCACTGTATGGAGTTTAATACAAAATTTGAAACTCACAGAATCATGTAACAGACAAAGTAGGACATCGGAATACCGTATATACACTGGATCGCAGAAATGATCAAGATAGCTGTACGGACGACTATATGAACACATTAATATAAAAATACGTAAAAACCTGACATCAATACAGATGTGTATGCTCTGCGAACAGTGAAATGTAATACAAATTCCATGGGGCCATGGCGCTGCTCAAATGATCAGCTTGCCGTCTGTTTTGTTGTACAGTGTACTTCATGGTGCACATTCATTTTGCCCTTGATCATGGACCCAAGCGTGCAACGAGTGGTGAGAGTGAGAGGGTGTTGAGTCTGTGGCCGGGAGGAAGAGGGCGTGGCTGGGCTTAGCCTCTCCTCCTTCTAACCAGCCCTCGCACCATCATCTCATTATCATCATCATCGTCGTTAATGCATTTAATTGTAATCGTTAATATTAAAATGTATGTAAAGTTAATGTGATGTTTATTTATGTTGTATTATGTTACTGTGTAATGTACCATACACAGTAACATAGTTTAGTTAATAAACAGGCAACTTAGTTCAGCTGTGGCGAGTCTGACCACGGCTGTGGTTCTCCTACCCCCCTACTACCCATAGGCCCCCTGTAACTTTACCAACCGCGAGGGTGTTCAGAAACCTGAACCCTTGGGGTTGGCCAGGGAGTTACTCTACATATGGGAGTCGAATGGGCGACCGCTCTAATAAGAGCCTCCCATCGGCCCCCTTTAAATTTACCAACCGCGAGGGTGTTCAGAAACCTGAACCCTTGGGGTTGGCCAGGGAGTTACTCTACATACGGGAGTCGAATGGGCGACCGCTCTAATAGGAGCCTCTCATCTCTAACAATGAGCGTCTGCATATGGCAAAGGGCATATTGAGAGACTTTTACGCCGCACGGACATTGCAGGGTACAGCTCTCGATCAAATGTTGCGTAAAATCGATGCAGCAGCGACATGGAGTCGGCGCTGTAGAATGACAAGACGCCCGCCTCCCAGTCCAGGTGAACTCCGACTCTTTTGGGAGCATCTCGCACCGACAGGTTTGTTTCCGTCACGTTATGTAGCGCCGTGTAGTCGTTGCACCATTTCCTCAGGCTCCAAGAAACTTCATTGCACCCAATTTTACAGGCTTTGTCATCACCTTTCCGTGGTATTGCGTCATATGTGACACCGATGTTAAATTTCTCAGAACCTCTCACGTCCACCTCCCAGTAGTGGCGACCCGACGAGATTTTCTCAGAGCAAATGACCACTTGGTAGTGGTCGAACCTGCCGGAGTTGTCCGGGTAAGGTTGGGTGTGTGTGGAGGTTCTGACGGTTTTAAAGTCGGCAGAAATCTGGAGGTTCCGATGTGCCGTGTTTGGGTTCAGAGTCGACGAGCAAGTGTCTGTAAACGATAATACAAATATTGTGTTAAGCGAACATTAATTACTTTTGAGAAACACACTTTGCAATTGGCAATATATGTCAGTCAGAAGTACAAACATTTGCTGAAAATATTAGTGTGCCGGGCTCCACTTCACACAGCTGATGTAGTCTTTATCAGGGGTTCCTACGTTTCTGCCCTAGGTTCCTGCCCTGACTATGAAAGGCAAATCAAATAGAGCCCAATGTATCAACCGACTGACCCAATCTCACTCTCAGTAAACTGTCCACCAAACTGTCTGATGGCTTCAGGACACGTCTGGTCATTACCAGTGGCGCCGCCTGTAATCCAGCAAGTTGGTGGATCACACAGATTCGTGAATCTCCCTACGCAAGGACGACGAAGTCGCCACCTGCTGCCATGCCAGGGTATGGAAGCACAGCAAGTGGATTAATCTTCATCTGGAATCCATCTATACGGGGATTACGTGTTTGGTGTTGATACAACTCGCTGACCCCGTGTCCCTATTGGATATCTGTGAAAAAAAGTTTCATAGCTCATCGGAGTCCTCATCCAGGATAAAGATTCTGATACTTGTGGGTTTTTTTCCAAGTACTACAGTTTACTTCCACAATGTATGAACGCACTTTCACTTTACGCGACGCTTTTCAGCAAACGCATTTACTGCACTAAATGATGACTTATTGCACTGTATCAAGGGTTCACATCTCATATGGATATCTTTCTTCATCCTACATCAGCATTAGAGATGAGTGACAAAGATGATGCATTAGTACACTCAGCAATGGACATTGTGTGGCGTGTACAGCATATCACGTACTCGATTCTCTCCGCATTTTCAGGAATGCCTCTTGCTTTTCACGATGTTCACGCAAAATCTCTTGGACTTGCGGGCTCTCTTCCTGCTTGCGATTGAGGCGTCTTATCATGAACTTAACTCGTTCCGATGCGAGGGGCATCGAAAAGACTTCTGAGAACTCGTATTGCGTGATGAGACCCTGGACGAGCAACTCGTGATGTAGCATTGCAGGGATCCTACCGATCAACTCTCGTACCAGCGAAGGTGCCTCCATCCCCGTTCTGAGCAATGCATCTTTGCTGTCACCCTTCTCTGCATTGGTGTTGTTTGTGCGATGATCTCCGCTGTTTGCAAAGTGATTACAAATTTGAATGTCTTCTCTGCTCTCATCCACAGTCAGGTTCTTCAATGATTGAGCTGTTAATATTTGTAAGTATAAACAAAAAAAAATTAGTTCTAACTTTGCCATTGTTTAATGCCTTCGTCATGATTATTATTATCATCATACGTTATTTGTTAGTTATCGCTGGGAGGTCTCACCAAGCCACTACATTTATTATGGTCCTGTACTGACAATCAATTTCACTCTCACAATATATTTGCACGTTAACTGATATCACTCCATCTCCTGTCTCAGTCACCAACAGCCATCAATGTGCCCACAGCCACTCTTTGCTTAATACATTCTCTTTATATCTCTCAGTATCATTTAGAACAGCCACCTCCTCCATCACTTTTTGTAAATTTGAGGATTTTTTTCTTAATTTCCACTTTCATCTTTGGGCATCTGTGCTTCCGAATTTATAATTAAATTGAAAGAGAAAAGATACGAAAATGAAGCCTCGATACGAAATTTCAGACAATTGTAAATTGTTGTCGTTGTTTGTTTGTTACAGAATGAGACAATTTGCCTTGTTTACTTCCCGAGCAGTGACACGAACACTGCCGCAGTGTTTCAGGAACCACCGCTGTGTTTGCGTTCTGCAGAAACACAGAGCTCGGAGATACCCTCGCTCCCAGCTCCACGCTCTACTGCTATGACCTCGTGTCTCGACTCCCTCGCCTTCACTTCCCCCACCACACACAGACGAGCAGGGTGAAGTTGGGCCAAATACCCTCCACGACCCACCCATAGGAAGTGGGTGGGCACTCATCCAGCAGTGGATTGACAAAGGGGATGTTCACGTGCTCTACTGCTGTGGCTACATCGCCTGCATGCACACTCGGAGGCGACGATTCTGAACCGTTTTTTTCCTTCTGGGTTTGAATACACTCTAAGTCAGTGCCAATGATTCCCTATGTGTGACCCGCCCTTGTACTCACCTTCGTAAATCATGACTGAGCCCGAGTTCACCTGGAAAGCCGGAAAGAGCGGCTCACTTGGAATATCATCAAATGAATGCAACAGCTCCATGGTGCTGGCGTTGTAAAACGAAAGCTTTCCTGCGTTAAAGTCCAAGCGAACGCCGACTCTCTGCAAATGCTTAATCTCCGGATAAGGAATGCATTCGTAATTATGTCTTGCAGAGTAATTTGAATCCCATTGAACGAACGCCCAAGTAGACTCATTCCAGCCCAGCCTGCCAGACTTTTCTTGAGGATTCCTAGGAATCGACTCGCATGCGACGCCGATGTAACAGTTTTTAGAGGCTCTCACGTCAACTTCCCAGTAGTGGTCACCCGACGAGAAGTTCTCGAAGCAGAGGACTATTTCCCACGACTCAAACCTCTCTGCGTGATCAGAGTAAGGCTGATCCGCCTGGTTCCACGTCGCTGTGCTGAGATCGGCAGAAATTTTAAGCCGTCGATGTGCCGAGTTGGGGTTCAGCGTGGGCGAGCACACATCTGCAAGATAAGCAAATCATTGTGTAAATCTTTCCAATCACGACTCAGTTTTTTGCTCATCATCGTCAGCCATGATTAAGTGGTCACCATGGGAGGCAAAGGTGCACCTGCCAATCTCTTTCCCATGCCACTGCTGGTGGAAAAATCTCGACTAGAAGCAGCTTCAGAACCTCCTCTTGAGGATATTTTGACCTCTCTTCCAAGCTGGTGACATGTGCCACAGTGGCTAGGAGATGTTAACTACCTCGCCTGGTAAGCATGAGGTCGTGCATTAAATTCCAATCCCGACTCCTATTTTATATTTGGAGTCTGCATGTCTCTCTCTCTCCCGATGGCGGTCGCGTGAATTTTTCTCCGGGTCCTCCAGGTTTTTCCTCCACGTTTATAATCAATATTATGAGGTTAGAGCCTTAGCCTGGTATACATTTCCACATGATGTTGATGGATAATCCACTTCGTTGAGCTATCATTTGTGATGGCCATTTCGCTTCTGAAAAAGAGCTACTACATAGCAGCTCAGTGGGGCCTTACCCGGTAAAATTAAATAGTTTAGTTTAAAAACAATTATTTGTTTAGTTTGCTCCACTACCGGTGACCACTCATTGCGCGGTAGCCAGCGGTATTGCCTCGTTCTGTACCAAACCTTTACAACGCACGAGGTGCCGTGCCGTGTTGCTCCAACATTGATTATCGAGGCTCCCTGGAATGCAAGTGGACAACTTAGGAATACTCTTTGGTTCTTTCGGTAAGGAATACTACACTTACTTTTTCCGAAATGCATTTAAACTATTGCTTTGTCTGAAGCAACATCGAACTGCGAATGCATGTTAATATACTCATTGAGCTACTGCCGGCGATTAAATCAGCTCACATGCGAGTGCTAAGTGGATCGTTGCATAGCAGGGTCGTGGGAGGTATGGGAGGCTTGTGGAGATCTTCATCCAGCAGTGGATTTACTTTGGCTGATGATGATGATGATGTAAAGGTGATAAGTATGATATGTATCCAGTGTCCACTAAGATCGACCTAAATTAGTCGCAATTTATTTTGGCCACTCCACCACTGCCCCTCCTGTGAAGGATTTCCTTGCTTGAGTGAGACGTTGGGACTGTGGGCCTACGATGCTGAGACTAAGTGGACTCATTTCTCTGTTGAGATAACTTTTTTTGTCGTTGTTGTTTGTGTCTCTTAGTTTTGGTCACATTCATATATTTGATTATTATTGTTTACTTTATGAAGGTGTTCATATGCTCGGTAATTGCTATATATATAATAGGATATGTAAAGCGCTGTGGGATATAATTAGCATGAATGGCGCCATCTTAAATCTTATTATTATTACGAAGTGCTCGGGCCTGAAATAATAAAAAAAGTTACTTTTCATGGATTGCAACGCTGACGAGTGTGTAAAGTGTACGCACGGCTCATCTTCAGCATGTCAAGGAAATGCCGTTCCCTGCTCCGCTGCTGCTCGAGTATCTCCAGCAGCTTTCGGCGTTTGCCTACCCCTCGTCTCATGACGGGCAACAGGATTGAGTCCGCGCGCATGGCGGCGTCGGGAATTGTAAACGCCCTCCAGTACTCCTCTTCCGTAACCAAATTCCTCCTCTTCAACTCGTGCAGGAAAAGGGAGGGAGTTTTGGCGATCAACTCTCGCAACTCTGGCAACTCCCTCTTGACATCCTTCCAGTTGCCCTCTTGATCATATGTGATCATTTGACCGATAAAATCCTCTGCGCTCTGTTAGAATAAAGACACCGCAAGTGAGTGGGCAGCAATCACCAGATCATCATCAGCATGCACAACACGGCTGACGAATAGGGAGCCATCCCTCGACCTCACCCAAGCATCGATCAGCCTCCCATTTTAACTTAACCAGGTGGGAATTCCTCCGGTACAGCCATGGAATTCCCAGGTACGGAAAACCTCTCCACTCTCTCCATAACTGCTCTCCCCGTAGAATGCTGGCTGCTTCCTCACACCCCCCGCCCCCATATGTTATATATATTATATATAATCATATATTTTATTCTTATTCTTTTATATATAAAAGTCTCCGCGCGTGCGCTTGCGGGGGATTTGGCTCTCGGACGGTGAGGTTTAATACCGAAATAATTTGCCAGCCGGCACGCCCTAAGCCCCGTGGTGAGAATAGGCTATTCTGTTTTCACGTCCGGAAATTTTAAAGTCGTTTAATTAACGAATTAGTGGCATTCTTATTTTAATTATTTACTTATTGCGTGACATCGACCGTACCAACTCACGACAATTTCCTGGGGGGGGAGGCGGACCCTGCCAAGTGATCGCGTTCACTCCAACTCACGGGAGACATTTTATTTTACGCGTTTAACATGGAATAAATATACACATCACGCTGCCGATTTATCTTCACAGTGTGATGTCCTCTTCCCCCCCCCCACCCCAATGCGTGCAGTTACTCATATAAAGTCCTTAGATATTAATTTAATATTATTAAAGCGCTTACATAGTATTATTCTGCCTCGGGCGGGGGGATGGTGGTGAGGGGGTCGGGGGTAGCGGCTCGGCCTGCAGCCTGGCAATGTCTCACCTCCTCCGGCTTGCCAATCTAGGCGAGGCCGCGGGCTCTGCACGGGACGAGGCGTCACCACGCCAATGTAAAGTACAATTTTATTGCATCTTTCGCTAAGAACTGAGGTTTATTGTTTACTATTATTAAACAAATAAGTTTACAAATATTACAATGATAATGTTTGTGTGCACATAACAACTCCGCTTCATTGTTTACTATTATGAAACTAATAAGTTGCCTAATATTACAATTATAATGTTCGTGTGCAAAAACTACATGTGTGTCCCTAAAGTCGATGTCTGTGTTTGAGTCCATATGTGTTTGTGTGCGTGTAAGTCGATGGGTTTCTATGTGTGTGGGTCCATGTCTGCGTGTAAGTCCATGTGTGTGTCTCTGTCTTTTTCAAACGGACAACGCCCCATGTGTGTGTGTGTGTGTACGTACAAGTGTTTGTGTGTGTGTGTCACTTCATTTGTGTGCGTATCAGTCGCTGTGTGTGTGTTTGTTCTTATGTGTGTGTAAGTCCATACGTGTGTGTTTCACTCGATGTGTGTGTGTCTAAGTGAATGCGTGTGTGTGAGTCGATGTGTGTGCATGGCTCCATCTGAGTGTGTAAGTCAATGTGCGTTTGTGTGTCTATGTTTGTCAGTCGATGTGTGTGTGTTAATCTATGTGTGTGTATCTAAAGTAGATGTCTGTGTGTCACAGTCCATATGTCTATGTGTGTGTAGGGCAATGTGTGTGTCAGTCTATGTATGTGTGTGTAAGTCCATGTGTGTGTGTCTTAGTCGATGTGTGTGTGTAAGTACATGTGTGTTTACGTCAATGTGTGTGCGAGTCCACGTATGTCTGTGTGCGAGTCGATGTGTGTGTGTGAGTCGCTGTATGTGTGTACGTCGATATATGTGTGTGTAACTCCATGTGTGTGTATCTAAAGTGCATGTCTATGCGTGTGTGAGTCCATATGTGTGTGTGTGTGTAAGTCCATGTGTTTGTGTGTGTGAGTCGATATGTCTGTGTGTGTCAGTCCATGGGCGTCTGTGTTAGTCGCTTTGTGTGCATGGCTCCAGTATAAGTCCATTTTTTTCCGTGTCTGTAGGTCCATGTGTGCGTGTGAGTGAATGTGTAGAGGTGATACGCGCTGGGATTAGGGATCGTATGCACAGTGCGTGATGATTGGCTGTGTAGGTGGTGACGCGCGCTGACAGTGGAGGATCAGGGGTCAGCGCGGGGTCGTGGGTTACGGGGTACCGATTGGCTGTGGGCCGGTGACGCGCTGAGAGGGAGTGATCAGGTGGCAGCGCAGTGTGATTGGCGGAGTAATGTTAACACGCGCTGGGGAAAGCGGATCGTAGAGAGAGTGCGTCGTGATTGGTTCAGAAGGAACGACGCTCACGTCGACGCCGCATCAGCTCCGTCTCTCGTGAGCAGGGGCTATAAAAGGGGATGCACACAGGCGTAAGGGCAGTGTGTAACCAGCGAAGAATGAAGACGGGGATGAAGACCTAGAGCCCTGCGGTACCTAGCCCCGCTGTCCTAAGGGGACCGGGACTCTGTGTAGCCCAGAGGCGAGTGTAGTGTGTGTAGCCATAGGTCTACACGAGCCGAATGTATTGTGTGTAGCCAGGGCATAGGGTCTACACGAGTCGAGTGTATTGTGTAGCCAGAGGCATAGGGCTTACACGAGTCGAGTGTATTGTGTAGCCAGAGGCATAGGGCTTACACGAGTCGAGTGTAGTGTGTGTAGCCAGAGGCATAGGGTCTACACGAGTCAAGTGTATCGGGTGTAGCCAGAGGCCTAGAGTTTACACGAGATTAGTGGAGTGTGTCGTCGGAAGAAGGAAGACCACACGTTGTATTGTGACACGTAAAGATTTAATAAAAGTGTGTTACCCGTCAAGAAGTTCCTGCCGTCAATTCGCATACTTCAACTGGCGTCAGAAGTGAAACGGTCCTCCAAGCATGGATACAAGGAGGAGCCGTCGGACCCACGGGATTGACCACGGGGACAACCTCGACGACGCGGGCCAGCGGGCATCAGGGGGTGAGGAAGAGGAGCTGCCCACGGGGCAGGATCCACCGACGGCGCCGGACGAGCGACGGGGGACTGACACCGTGCTTCGCGAGGCACACTCCCGTCTGTCGGAGCTGCTGCTCGCCGCCGCGTCCATCTTGGCGGAGATCAGCTCGTCGGGAGGAGCGGGGACGGCGGCCGACGTGCTACAGGGTCGCCCTGCAGATTCCCGCCAAAACGATTTGGCGATTCCCGCCATTTCATCCGCTCCGACTTTTGGCGGGAACGGCCATCACCACGTGGCAGCGGTTCTCCATGCGCGCCCGCTGACGTCACCAACGCGCGCGGCGGACCGCCATCACACACCCGCCGATGGGGCCGCCATCTTACACACCGACGGGGGGGCAGAGAGGAAGCACGAGGAGGAGGACGACTTCATCTTTCAGCAGCGCCTTCCCACGTTGTCAGCATTCAAGGCGGAAGGCGGGGATTGAAGCCAATTTCAGCGCAGATTTTTGGCGCATCAAGAGATGTCCGCCTGGTCCGACGCTACGGCACTGCGGGCACTGCCTGCCATGCTGGACGACAACGCGCTCGCGGCCTTCACGTCCGCACGCAGGTCGGACCGCTCCACGCTCAAGGATGCGCTGGCTCTCATGGCCAAAGTCTACGGTCCTCCCTCGGCGTGCCGCCATCATTTCTACGCAAGACGGAAGGCGGACACGGAGACCGTGCTCGCCTACCGCACGGCGTTGCTCGCTCTCGCTGACGCCGCGTTCCCTCGTATGGACGAGGAGGGCCAAGATGCGATGGTTTTGGAGCAGCTGCTCAAGTTGGCGCAGGACCTGGGGGTCCCCATCAACACGGCCGACGAGACCGATATTTCTTCATTACGGGTCGCCACGAGCATGCAAGCGCACGAGGTCCTTCAACGAAAGCAGGGGGTCGTCTGCAACGCTGCCGTGGCCTCAACTCCGGGTCCGGTTGACACCGTGCCCCAAGTCGTCAGCCCACGAGAGGACGCGTTCATCGCGGGACGAGCGGGGGACTGGAGGTCGGGGGGTCGTTCGCCTCTGCGAGCGGCCCGCAAGCTGGAGCAACCGAGATCTCCGACTACTGTCATCACCTGCTATAACTGCGGCCTTCGTGGCCACGTGGCCTCCGGTTGCCGCGCCCCACGTCAGCGCGCCATGGGACCTCGGCTGGACGACGACCAAGGCCCCAAGTCATCACTGCAAACCCCGGCAAGTCGCGGCACCTCACATGCTTGGCCCGCATACTCGACACGTATGGGTCGTCGCGTTGCGACGAGGGAGAGCCGAGTAGAGTTCGGGGATTCGGTTCGGAGAGGGGGGTTCGGCCGGGACCGGGGAGACATTAAATGGTCGGAATTGGGGCACAGAATAGTGGCTGCCTCAGCGGGTTCATCCGTCGTTACCGGATCGATTGATGGGGTCGAGGTCAGGGTGTTAGTGGACACGGGGGCATCGGCGACTATTATTTCGGATCTCATTTATAATATTCTCCCGGTACAATGTCGTCCGCTTCTTCCGGTGGATGTGCCATTTTACGCCGCTAACGGGGGATCGTTGGGCATTATCGGTCAGATTAGGGCGTCCATTTGCATTGGTGATATCAAATTGTCGGGACCCGTTTTCGTTTCATCTTCCCTGGCGGTTCCTTGCCTATTGGGCACTGATTTTTTGGCGAAAATGCCCATCAAAATTCTCATTGATCAGCGTTGCATTGAACTACCATCGGGTCGCCGTATTTCATTTTTGACGAGCCCTAATGTAATTCGGACGGCGTGCGCTACCATTCAGGCATTAGCAACACAGACCGTGCACGTGCCCCCGGGTTCACAAATGTTGATTCCCCTCCGGTTACGGAAGCCATGGGGGAAGGAGGCCTCGGAACAGGCCATGCTTTTGGGTCCTTCTAATAGGGCTGTTGGAGGTCTCGATTTATCGGTGGCTCACACTTTGGTTGGGGCAGACAGGGATCCGTTTGTCATGGTTTTAAACGCTGGGGCGCGGCCGGCCGTCATTCAGCAGGGCACTGTGCTGGCTCACGCGGCACGGGTCCCTGCGGAGGAGAGGTTGGTTGCGCAGGCTGATCCGAGCCCCACGAATAGCGTACCATCGAAGGAGGACCTAGATTGGATTGATA